CCTGCACCATTATAAACATAACATTTCAAGGCCATCAAGTGGCTCAAAATAGGGCCTTTTCACCCTCGCTTCCATGTCCTGTTGCGTTAAAATAGAAGCAATTCTATTATCAGAGGCATGCATCTCTGTCTCTTGGAGGGATCAACGTAATAACTAGACAGAACACCAATATGCTCAACAATAGACACAGGTTATCTCCTCCAGTTTAGGATAATAATTTACAACAATTTACGGACTGAACAAGGATTAACAATTAACCACCTATTCAAGGTTCAGAGTAAATACTTCACACTGGATTGTTACCGTGTGTTCCGAAGGAAGAGTACAAAAAGTTTAGTTAAGACTGGTTCACAGAGAAATTGGGATTGTCCTGTAATGTCAATTTCACACACGGTGACAGTATCTCCTATTACTTAATTGTTAACGATGCAGATGGTCTTTCCACATTCAGAGGACATGTAATACAAGTAATTTTTAAGCCGTTGTTATTTTAGACCTGTCTAACACTGACTCCATCACGTGTGTTGTGCTGTGGCCAGTACAGTTATACCTGTACTCAATGAAACCATAACTGAGAAACTGAAAAGCAGACCAAAAACATCTGCTATTGGCCCCTTAGTGCTTCACCTAGATAAATACCACAGAAATTTCTTTCAACTGATTCACTAGCAATGGATCTCAATAACAACATAAATGCTCCTTCTAAAACTAATGGCGCATTTATCCTGACAGAGCAATTTTAATACAAAAGAGACACTAAGAACACACTGTAGCCTTGCCCTAGTTTCTGCCACTTGTGTATTACCACTACATTTCAATCACAGAGTTAAACATCAGTTTTTCTAGAAGATAAATCCCTGGTAATGTCCACATTTAAAAAATGTTTAATAACATTTTACTGATGTTCTGAAAGTATTTCCAGAATCTTTAAAAAACACCTCTATCTAGCTGAACTTATCAATGTTTCTGGAATTATAAAAAATTGAGATTGAGTACAAGGGAGATGAGTGGTTTGCCTTTAAAGAGTGATGATTCACTTGACCTCTGTTAACTTGTGATAGGCATTTGTCACTCCAGAAAATAATTTCTAGATTGCTCATTACCCCCCTAATGACCTCCTACAACTGATAATACAAACAATTTAAGAGAGGTTTTCATAACGACAAATGTTTCATCTAACTTGTCAATATCAACAAGATGAGCTGCCAGATAAACACTTTCCTGTGGGATTTACTAAATGTAGATTGAACCAACATTTTCTGTAGAACTGTAAATAAAAGGCAAGTGAGAAGAAGTGGATGAGAAATGTGTGTGTGCTGCTGGAGACTTAGCCTGGTTAGTCATTCCATTTCTGCTTAGCTCTGTGACTTCAACGTAATGATAATACATGAGAGAAATCCTAGATTTTAAACTGAAACCATCGAAGGAACCCAAAGAAGCCTAAACATAAGTCATACCTAACCTTGAAACAATTCACTGAGCAATTATTAGTCCAATGACAGAAATGTGTTTTATAAATTGAAAATACAAAATTTTGCTCTTTGGCTTTGTAAGCCGCTTTTTTCTCATATCATTGTTTTGAATTTGTTGAGCTAAACACTGACTTTAAACTAGGCACAAGGGAGACGAGTGGTTTGCCTTTAGAGTGATGATTCACTGTGACCTCTGTTAACTTGTGATAGACATTCGTCACACCGGACAATAATTGCCAGATTGTTCGTTACCGGCCAAATGATCTCCAACAACTGATAACATAAACAATTTAAGAGGATTTTCCAGGGTTAGACTAAATTGCCAATAGATACACCTGCTTGATCTCACTTGTCCATGTTAACAAGATGAGCTGCCAAATAAACCCTTTCCTATTGGATTTACAAAAATGTACGTTGAGCCAAACGTTTCGCCTGGAACGACTGTAAATAAAGGGCAGGTGAAGACATTTAACAGTGGTTGAGAAATGTGTGCAGGCTGCTGAAGACTGGCCCGGTTAATGAAGCCAAGCTGCGTTGCTCAGGTTCAGGCCTTGTGGTGGCTCACTGACACCCCGCAGCAGTCAGCTGGCTCACACCAACACACCTGGAGTCAGCTACGAATCTCCCCACTTTTACGCAACCATGTGTCTCCTGGTTAAATTTCCCCGTTAACGCCGCTCTCCCTCCATACATCTAGCCCGCTAAGTCGGGTTTTCTCGGCTCGTCGTTTTAAAAACCAACCGGCAGTGACAACGTCACTGGGGCTCATGTAACGATCGGTAACACGTTTAAATGTTAACGGTTCCGGGCTCAACGTTCAAACAAACAAAACTTCCCTTTTGGCCCAGGTGTGAAAAGTAAATGTGGTGAGGGTAGTGTCATTCATTTTACCTCGCCGTTGCTCACGGTTGCTTTAGTCGTTTCGGTCTCCTGCGTCGCCATCTTTCCTTGTCTCTATCGCGCACACGCCACACCACACTGCTGGCTGGGAAACTGCGTGTAGTCTCGCGAGAGGTCAGTTGTAGCGTCAATGGAGTGACGAAAAATGTGAGGCGGTCGATTTTTCTTTTTCTTTTTTTTTATTTAACATTGTATTACAAAAAATGCAGAATAGATGGTCATTAAAATATCACAACAAAAGTATTCAGAAAATACATGTAGACCTAATGTAAATACTGACAACAATTATTTCTTATATCCTGAATAAAACAACAAGGATACATTGAATAAAAAACATAATAAAGACAATGTGAAATCAATGAAAGAAAGACAGACAACAAAAAAAGCCAGAGGTGTGATATGATGCAGTCAAGAATGAATGTACTTATGATGAAATGTCACTAAGTTACAATCCTCTATTCAGGTAAAACAGGTTAGGTGAGGTGCATGTCAGTATCAAGGATGGATTACCAACTGGGCAAAGCAGTCAAATGCCCTAGGGCTCCAAAAGCCCCAAGTTTACTCCATATCGTTTATGTCTACATAATTTGATTAATTCCAAGTTTTTTTAGTTTTTTGGGGGTTTTTTTGTTTGTTTTTTTTTAGAAATTTGAACCACTGATATCATAATATCAACTACAGGTTCTCCATCCTCCTTGTGGCCCAGTCTTGTAGAGGGAGTCTGTATCAAGATAGTTTAAAGACCAATCTAGTTCATATTCTGGTCGTTTGTTATAAAGTTGTGTTTTATGAAATTTTGTTTTGTCAAGTAATTAACACATAGAAAACCTCAGACAAGGCAGTATTACTTATAGGCCAACTGTACGGCTGCTACCAACATTTTTTTCATTATCAATACATCTCACAGTTATTTTCTGTAGTAACTGATTGATTGTTTAGTTTTTAAAGTATTTTGTTTTGTCTGAAAAACAATCAAAAATTCAAAGTTGTTGAGTTTACTGTCACAGAAAACTGGGAAAACTAGTAACTATTCACATTTGCGAGGTTGTTACCTGATCATTTTTGGGCATTTTTGCTTAAACACTTAAACAATTAATCAGTTGTCAAACTTGTTGTTATTTGTCACAAACTGAAATGAAGAGTGGTAGTCATAAGGGGTCAACAACAAATTTGTGCGCCATAGGAGGTTAATCCACCCATGGTCAATATTTCTTGAAAAACACCCTCAGAGTAAGTTTTTCCTGAGGCATCTCATCTTGTGAATAAAGAATTTGATCTAAAAATTTACAATGACATGAATTCTGGAATTCTTAACAGAGTAGAAGAACAAAATATTGACATCATCAAGCTTTTCGGTCAAGTAGTTCTCTAACTCTTGTCAGAATTTCTCAGCATGTGGACAGGTAACAAACAGGCGTTGTATGGACTACATTCATTTCTGACATCAGGAAAGTACTTGGAGACAGCTTCATGACAGGATCTGTGCTTAACAGAGATGAAGACCTTTTTCACTTCATCGGTGAGAAAAAAAACCTGGTGTGGTGTTATCCATGCTGTGAACCAATTTACCTCATGGTGAGTGGCGCATGTGAAAACAGCTACTGAGGGAGACTTACTGTGCAGCTGATAAATATTGTAAGCTTCTTTTTGTGACAGGGCTGATGAAACGGCATGAAACGCTGTGCTTAGTCATGCATCTTCAGTCGTGTAACTATAAAATGAAAGCTGTCTCAAAAGGGAAAATGGAACATGTACTACTTGATGTTTAAAAATAGCTACAGACATCTTATTAAACATTAAATCTCAGGCAAGCAGCAAGTCCCCAATACCATATCTGCAGTCATGTAAAGTAACTATACTCAAGTACAATACTTACATACAATTTGTAGGTACATGTGATTGTAATGTCCATTATGTATAATAACACTGATAGGGGCCATTCTTACTTTTGATATTCTATATTTTTGCTGATAATGCATCTGTAGTTTTATTTAACATTTTTAAAGCAGGATCTGTAGTTGGGGTGAGTATTTCTCAGATTTTAGCTTTGCCACATTGACTTAAGGATGAGAGCACATTTTCCACCATTGCATATTTGGACATCAGATCCTCATACAATCTCCAAATACGTTTTTAGAACAAATGGTCATGAAGTCTCTGCGTATGGTATTTATGTCTATTCACAAACAATATGTACTTCATTTTGTATCTTTACAGACACTCCCATTCAATCTAAAGCTTTTCTGATTTGAGTAACACGTTCAAGAGCAACTGTGGGTATATAAACCATGGGCTTACGCTGTGTTCTTCAGTTGGCAGTTACACCCAGTGCAAGTGAAGCCACTGAAGATGTTTCAGAATAAAACCACCCTCTCTTCTTAAAATGTGGTCATCCTGAATCCGGTGTGATTCATGAATGCAACATATATGTATAAATTCTCTATAGTGCCTGTTGTTCATTAGTATTGTATGGTATTGTTTAGACATTCAAATTTGTCCTCGGTGTATACCATGACACAATTCTCACTAATAACTTAGCAAAGCAAGTAATGCACAGTAGGTAGGTAATGCAGGTTTCCTTCAAGTTACTTTGCATGCTTGCACTACACATTTGCAACATAATGTTCCTTCATTGTTGCATGTCAATTTTATTCATACAGCCCCAAATCACAAATTTGCTTCAGAGGGTTTTATAATCTGTACAACATATCACACCCTATATCCTTAGATCCTGAATTAAGATGAGGAAAAAAAGAGCTGAGTGATCCCACTATCAGGATGGACAGACATGCAATAGATACAGGTAGACAGAAGTAGCAGTAAAATTGGAGAAAATGGTAAAACAGAATTACTTTTATATATACAATAATTTAAAATGAGGAGAAATGTTAATTGCAATAAATTTAAGTTTCAGGCAGAGTGTAAATGGTTCATGTTACATTATACATACTGACAAATCCACTCTATTTAATTAGCTACTATACTGGCAAATTATTTTTTATAATTATGCATTACCCTTTGGCACATAGTGAATCAGCACCTTAGAAATTAACAGGTTTTAAAAGATGAAAAGAGAACAATACTCCATGTTTGTATATGTGGCTATGACATTTCATTGAAAAGAAACCACAAAAATAATTAATTTACATTTCCTCTGTTCTGATTTAGAGGACAAAAAAAGGATATTAACAGTTTTGAACCAGTAACACATAAGGAATCATAAATAAGGCATATCATTAATTTGAAATGCATTATCAAAAGTGTTGTGGTGATTGTAATGGAGAGAGAGGCAGTTAACTGAAGTGTGACTGATGTACCTGTTCACTGTCAGATAGTTCAGAGACTGAACACAAGATGATGCACTTTACCATGTAGACACAGGAGCGGCAAATACATACAATCAGTTTCATAGGTTTCGCTGTGCTTGTGTTTTGAAATATTACGCTGATGGCCAACCTGGTATCAATGGTATTCAATAAAAAATATGCATCTAATAGTACAATGTAAGTCTCATGGAGTTACTTTATACTTATACATCTCCACTAAATGACCTATTACTTAAGCCCACTTGAACAAAAAGCTGTGTAATACTAGTGCTGAGGGACTGTACTGCTTGACACAGCATGAAATTCAATGTGCCATGCTTATATAGAACTTCAGGAATTAAAAAAAGAAATGTCTGTTGGGTATGACTTGAATTTGAATGCTATTTGAATTTTTGATACACTTTAAAATCAAACAGAATACACTCTCCGTAGATATTGGATTTATTTTTGGATGATGTCATCCCATTTGTATACAGGAAAGCTTATCTGAGCTTTATCTTAAGTAGATAAATTTGATCTGATAGATCGCATTTAAATTAAACAAAAATAAATCAAATTTTTATCTTGAAACAATATTTTTTTTTATTTCAGTGGTTCAATATAAGCAGGATACATTAAAGTGCAGAAACTTAAATTTTTTAACAAGAGGAATTCAATCAGAAAAATAAAGGGGAATTACATCTTATATCCACTTGGAAGCCTAAAAATGGGACTGTTTTACATACCACATACAAACGAATAATGAAATTTAAGGAATTATAAGTTGTTTAGAAAGGAAATATATACCCTTGCATACTTTAATGCTCATATTTTGGCATCGTACACCTGTGTAAATGGCAATAACTGCAAATATAGCAAATAGGAACAAGAGTTTCCGCTTCCGCTTACAGCTGTGTTTCATTATGGACTATTCAGGCTACTGTTGGTGGGGATTTGGGGAGTTTGTCCTTGAACTGTCCTTGAACTGTGAAGTTTTTGTCAATTGTTCAATAGTGGAATGACTTTGACCATTGAAGACCATTGAAGACTGATTTAAGTAAATGACTGGACATTGTATTAGTCAGGGCTATGAGCAACAATTACACTTTTGATTTTAGTGTCAAAGTATTTTAGGGTAAATTTTTCCTTCAGCAAACAGTTTTCCAATCCTTGGACCACTCTCTCAGCAATTTACAGTCTTCAACAAATGCTAAGACTACAGTTCACTATAGACAGTTATATACAATCATCTTTTTACACAATAGTTGGTATCCAAACTGTCAACAATGCCGGATGACATTGAAGACCCACCTTAAGAAAGCATGGGAGCAACAAGTACTAGTAAAGCAAGTGCATGAAGTGAAGAACTACATATTAACCTTCATTATGCCGCCTCACATGAACAAATACTCTCCTTTATCAAACCTTGTTGGTGTGAGCTACTCCTGTGATTATGCTGTGTTATTATCATATCCAGTTCACCAAGAGACTACTACCTGACAGTCACCTCTGTCAAGTTGCATTGAAGTTACTGAGGCTGAAATGCCTTTTGATCATGCCTTCCAGAGAAGCACGAAACAAACAAACAAAAAAAGACATTCGTTACAATATATATGACTCTGTTATCTCCAGGTTGCTGAATGGAAATTTCAGGGCAGAAAAACTACAAACCACACAGTCCTACATCTCATCTAAACCATAATCCTCCTCAGGGAAGTCTCCCACAGTCACACTCAGGGGCTTCACAAATGCACCATATTTGTTCTCACAATCAAAGTATCGCTTCCCTTCAACACTGCGGAGACACAATTTAAAAAAGGGACAAGGTCAAAATCAGGGAAAATCAAGACCAACATAATGTACGCTGCTAAAAAAGACAGTGCTCTTACATTCCATCGTGCTTTCCCAGGGGCTCGTCGTACTTCACACCCACCCAAAAGCCTGGCTTGAAATCTGCTGTGCCTGCAATGAACATAACAATTACACCAAGTTCACCCATTCTTATTTATTGTTGTTTGCTTAATCATGATTTTAAATTCTCAGTCTTCATAAACTGCTGAAAATGACAACAAGAAAAAAAGCAAAACTGATTTTTCTAGGCCTATTCCTTTATGTGGATATTAACTGTAAATATTTATAAGGACATTAACAACAGTCTGTAAATGAAACAAATAAAATGAAATAAATCACACCAGCACAAGAAACACTTAAACAGCCTATCCAATACTTTTGGCGTCATAAAACTAGTGGAGTTATGTATAACCCAGGGCCACAACTCCTCCTCATTGCTTGCAAAAATGAAAACAATGCTGCTCTGTTATACAGAAAATCCTCACCAGCACAGGATTTAAACCAATGTCCTGAAGAAAGTAAACCAGCTAAGCTTTATCCACACTTACCAACATACATGACTGTGCCAACCTTCGTGGGCTGCCCAGGGACATGCACTTGGCATCGGCTGCCAACAGAAATGGCATCAGCAGCAGCCTTCTGTTCCTCCTCCCGAGCAGCGAGATCAGCTTTCTTCTTGGCCACTTCTTCCTCATTGAAGCGGCCAACACGTTGTTTCTTCATGAATGACCTTGCTGAGTCTGCGGGAAAAAGTGTGAGGTATTACTAAACCAGGATACTTTAAAACAAGACTGGGAATACTGCAGAAGATGTTCTATTAAATAAGGTTGAATAACTCCTTTACATTTGTCAATGGTTAGCAAAATAAACAAACATTTGTACAATCGCTGCCTGATGGAGGTATTTAATTTTTTGTCAATGACTGCAACTAACAATCGATTTTCATTATTGACTGCTCTAACAATTATTGTCTGGATTCACTGATTGATATTCAATTCAACGAATTGACTCAATTATCAACTATACGTTATTGTGTAACTATAATGTTACCCCTTCCTGCTGCAATAGCCCTATTTGGTCATAAAATAAGGAAAATATATATGATTTCAAAAACACAGAAAAAACGCTATGAGAGTTAGAAATTGAAGAGATATGCATGGCAGACTGTACCTGTTTTCTTATCATATGCCTCATCTGAGAGTTCAAACTTCTCCACTTTGGAAACATCAGTGAATTCACCCATCTGACCTCCACTTCTATCAATGACCTGAGCAAGAAATGACACGTTTTTTTTTTTTTTTTTTAAACACCACTAGCATGTTTTAGTCAATAAGTATAGATCACTTCAGTCTGAAATAAGCAAGGTGATCCATAGGCAAGTATTTTAACATTTCATTATTGTTGCATGGTAACACAGCTGTGGGGAGCCAAATTTTAAAATGATGATGATGTGATTTTTGTTGGGTCCTCTACCAAACAAACTTGTTCCTTTACATCTGGAAATATTATTTGTAGGCTGGGGCGTCTATGTAGCACCACAACACTTATGGTGCTAACAATGCATAACAATGTTATGATACATTTCACCTTTATCAAAAATCTTTTTTATATTTGTCATATCTGAGGCAAATTTGTTCTAGCCCAAAGACCATGGACCATCTGCAACCTTGTGGCTATGTGTATGTTACTACAATATCACAATGGTCAGGACCAGTATAAAGTGATTTCACACCCAGCTGCTACATACATGTATTCTGCAGTCATCATCCACAGGATAGGAACCCAGCAAAGCTTCATTGTCGTCTATTTTCTGCATGAACTTGTCAGAGACACTGTATAACTCCAGGTCCATGCAGGAGGCTGGTGTGCCCACAACCATCTCCAACTTTCCCTAATAACAGTAAAAACAAAACAGAATGCATAATACAATGACTTTTTTAAGATGCTGATAGGTATGTGATTACACGAGGAAGACAGAAATGAATTATAATCTAAATATAAAGTGAATTGTACAGGTTAGGTCTGGGAAAAGCCCAAAAAACAGCAATGCCAACTCGTGCAACTTTTCAGTTGTGTAATGAATGATTTGGAGTCAGATGAGGCTCACCTTCAGCTCTGCAACACTAATCCCTCTATTGAACCTGCGCTGCGTCTCAAAGGAGATGATGGTGCTTGTTAGGCGCACATTCACAGTGGGGTTGGTAACTATTGTCACTTGGCCGTCCATTATCCTGACTGTTTGGACACAGCTCCTGGTCAAAAACTGAAAAAATCAGACAAGTAATGTGACATATTAAGCAGTGGGACTGAGACTGATACACTGTCTCACAGCTGCAGACACATACTGTCCCTGACAGTTAGTATGATTCAAGCCGTTGTCTTGCTGAACACTTCTGATTAAAGTCTCTTTGACGACACACAAAAACAAAGACTGTGTCTACTTCCAAACACTGTTTAGTTTTGGTAGCTAGTACTTACTCTAAGCACGTTCTAGCATTGAAATCATTTGCCACCTTTTATCTCTCACATTTAAACAATTTATCAACTGCGATCGTTTAAGTTTCATTACACATTGTCTCATTTTAGCTGGCTATTTTACATCAATCAAAGACTGCGTTAGCTGTTTGGGTGGCTAGCAGCAGCACAGTCACGTTGGATACACTGAGGATCCCACTACAAGGTTGCCATAGTTACTTACAAACGTGTACTTTTTCTTCGATGGTATTTAAAGAACTTTGACTCGTCTCTGTATCACAGTTTAGCCAGATGAATCCGTAACTTTTACGTTATAATAACACTAACGGTGGTACAACGAGCCTCGCCGTGTGGTTGGAAAATTATAACACCGATTCCTGCTACGCCCAGCTCTGGAACGTTCTACCCTCCCCAGACAGCAGGAACACCAATCATATCGGGGACCAAACGAGCTCAGCCTATAGTGTTACGAAACTTAAGAAATGACGCTCAGGAGCCGCCTACGTACCAGCAGATTGACACCGTCGGTAACCAATCATCAGACGGGAGTGAAAACGATCGTAACCACATGATGGCGTTGTCCTCAAGCCTAAACGTGAAGACTGAACAGTATCTGTCATGAGGAATAATTTAACCACGATAGACACTGGCATTGTTTGGAAGTCTTTGACCCTGTAATGAGAAAATATAGGTCTGTGCTTTATATTATGACAGGTTTGCCTTTATAAGTGGCTTGATCGCCAGGCATTATGAGTGAGATACCAGAAAATTTGGGTTCAATCTGATACCAGGCCGGGATCACTGATATCAGTACCTATATCGATACTTTTTTAATCTTTAAAAGCAGCTAATGCACCACCATGCAAGGGAGCGAAATATGCCATGATTTATGAGATAAATGCATATTGATAGTCTGTTCTGGAGTTTAATCATCAACAAATAATTTGCCAAACATGAGGCATTTCTTTTTTATTGTTCTCTGTTAATTAGCCTACTTAATCACATGCATGTTTAACCACAAGACAACTTTCAGTGATGAATAACATTTGTTCATTACGTGAATTCTCTGAACTTGTTGATTGATGTGATCACTGTGCATGTTCATGTGTCCAGCATGTGATCTAATTTGTAATGTCACTTGTATTAATACTCGGGGGATTGATCTGTCAAGCCCTACCAGCCATAAAGAATCACAGACTCAATAATGATCAGTAAAACCACACCATGTTTGGGTCCAGTTATAACAAAGGTCAATAATAATTTTGGCTTCCTCTCAGTTGGTTGAGTAAATATGGACTAATGGACATTAATGTATAGAATAAACTACATTATGTGTTATGAATATGAAATAATATTGTTGAAACTTGAAAGCATTTTTGTGAGGACTATGCTATGTTTGAGCTGTCATTTCCCTGAAAAGTTTTTTCATTTTTTTCCTGCAGCATGATAGAAAATCTCCCTGCAGGAAAACAAGCCTTAAATCACTGACATGCAGTGAACCAAGGTATTCCATAAATACATTGAACAGAGTACAGCATGTGTGGGCAGAAAAAAACAAAGATCAAAAAAAGTAGGAAGCTACAACCAAAGACCAATCAGAGAAGAGCAGGGGAGTGCTGACAAAAGCCCACAGCCCCACAGTGAAGATTTACATTCCTATGGTTGTTGATGGAGATGCAGGTCTGCAAACCTGCCTGGCTTCATTTACACCTTATCTGCAGGTCATATATCTTATCATATCTTAAAGACCATACTAATTTCTGTGCGACTCACACACAGTTTCTTATAAAGCTCAAAGGTTCAGGTTAAGTCCATACAAATGTAAGCTTTCAGTATTTACTTATGGTTTCATGTGTGAAACACAGAGACGTTGCCATGACGCAAATCCATTGCAAAACTCCTAACATTACGGATGTCACAAATGCAAATTATACCTGCTATATTAGTTTAAGCTTAATTGTGTGTATTTGTACAGTATTTGCATTGGGAAACCACCTCAGACACACCAAACCATGATATCTGGTTGGATGACAACCAGTCTTCCCTGGACAAACACAGACACACTGTCTTACAAAGGCCGTATTGATTACACAGTGTTATTCTTTGTGAGAAAACCATAAACTATTTTCTAATGTCCTGCTTTTTAAAGAAAATTCTCCCAGGGATATTAACTTAAGACTAGCATATGATATGAAATTCAAACAGATTTTACAGTCTGAATTAACAGTTTAAGACACATTAATTCTTTTAACATGCTGTTGGATCCACAAGAGCTATCAGAGCAGACTTTCTGAACCGTATACATTTCAAGAATTAAGAAGTGCCATTAAAAAGGATTATAGTAATTCGTACCATAAACATCATAAATATCTATCTGTTATCAATAGAATCCCTAAAAATAATGAAAATAAAAGTTGGATGAGATTACAATAAAGTAAATTCTCTGAAAGTCACTTTTATCTATAGAGCTGGGAATAGAATTAGTTAATTAATCAATCAATCTGGTTTCAGCTCCTTAAAATTTTTCACTCATTTCATTTTCAATTTATAAACTGAACAGTTTATTGATGAATCATGAAAATAATGATCATGGAGATGAAGCTGATAATGAAAGTACCTGTTAATTGTATACCTTTACTCGGGTGTAACTACTTGCATATCGAGCACAAGGAACAGTGGCCAGATGTGGTATGCAGAGGTGGAAAGTACTACAGCTGTTGTTACTAGTTACTTTGCAGATGAGGATTTTATATACAAAACATATCCATGTATAAATATGATGCATTGTTTTAGATAAACAGTATATAAAGTAGCTATTATTAACTTCGCCTCCACCAGCTGTAACATCAAAATGCTGCCAACAGTGTAATGCATCAGTAATAATCCAATAATAACTCTGACAGGGGCTATTCTGCCACATGATAAGTACTTGTATTCAGGGCTGCAATTAATGATTATTTTCTATTATCATCTGCTAATTATTTTCTCAACTAATCGATGAATCATTTTGTCTGTAAAATGTCAGCAAGGCATTAAAAGATCTCATTGTAATTTCCCAGAGCCCAGGAGGGTGTCTTCAAATTCCATGATTTATTTGACCAGCAGTCCAAAACCCAAAGATATTCAGTTCACTGTCACAAATGACGAAGAAAAACAACAAATCCTCACATTAAAAAAGCTGGAACCAGAGGATGTTTGGTATTTTTGCTTGAAGTGTGACTGAAATATTTGAATATTCTGATATATATATCAGGATATTTGATTTTCTGTCAGCTCTTTGTTTAGGCAGGTACATTTTGCTGCAAAGAGGTGTAGTTTTACTTAAGTAAAATCATGACTGTGGGACCTTTTCTTGTATTTTAACCTCAAAATATTGATTATTTTACTCAAATTAAATATCTCTATACTCTTCGTTAGTCAGATGTTTGTGAAATGTCATATTACTGCCATTGAGCAAGTTTTATTCAACAGCAGTGAAAAGCATTATTTGAAAAGTGGTAATTTATGAAAGAAATATGTCTAAATAATATGCTATTCGAACATATAAAGATTAGTGTAAGTACCTTTGACAAAGACACTGTAGGCCCCTATTAGGTCGGGAAAGGGGCGTGACAGCTGGTAGTTTGCAGGCACATTCATGGTTTGGTCGGCTGGCGGAGAATGGGAGCGAGCGCAGCGCTGCGGAGGGAGGGAGGGAGGGAGGGAGAGAGGAGGAGGAACTACTGGTGGAAAAAAAGTTAAAGTAAAAATGGCTTCCTTGTCTTTGGAGTCTACAGAACAATCTGAGAATAGCCCAGAGGAGCCAACGGCAACGGAGGTCAAAGAAGAAAAAGATCCCGTCCAAGTTTCGGAACAATTACTCCAAAGTTTCCAAAAGTCGGCTCTGAGTTTTTCCACTGACCAAGTATCATGTCTCTGCGAGGCCCTTCTGCAGGCGGGCAATGTGGATCGCCTGTGGAGATTTCTCTCCACCATACCTCCTTCGTCCGAGCTGCTACGTGGCAACGAGACCCTGCTGAAGGCCCAGGCACTGGTGGCTTTCCACCGTGAAGAATACAAGGAGCTTTACGCCATCCTGGAGAGTCACGACTTCCATCCGTCTAACCATGGGTTCCTGCAGGACCTGTACCTGAAAGCCCGCTACAAGGAGGCGGAGAGGTCCCGGGGCCGCAGCCTGGGCGCCGTGGACAAGTACCGGCTCAGGAAGAAGTTCCCCCTGCCCAAAACTATCTGGGACGGGGAGGAGACCGTGTACTGTTTCAAAGAGAAGTCACGAAATGCCCTGAAGGAGTGCTACAAGAGCAACAGGTACCCCACTCCGGACGAGAAGAAAAACCTGGCCAAAGTCACCGGACTGTCCCTCACACAGGTCAGCAACTGGTTCAAGAACCGCAGGCAGAGGGACAGGACCCCGTCCGGGACCCACAGCAAAAGGCAAGACCGCCAACACTGGAAACATTTCAATTATTGCATTTATCAAGTCGTTTAGATTAGGTTTTCATGAAATCAGTCATATTGAAGGCGGCAGCTGCCTTGAAGTTTTCTTTTTTTTTCTTCTTAGAGCAACATGTTACTTTGTGTTGTGGAGGATCACACAGAAAAGTCAGTGAAACTGGCAGACCAAACCTGAATGGTAAACAAAGCCTGCAGGCCTACTCAGGGTAGCATTGAAGGACTATGTACACATTGAAACTTGAAGTAACAAAACTATCAAGAAAAAGCATTGAATTGAGTGATAAGATGGACTTTGGAGCTGACTTTTGACAGCAGTGAAGCCACTCAGGTCTGAGACCAAGAGCATGTTGCTTTGTTATGAAATGTGAGATCAAGGCGCCCACCATGGCTCAAGTTTCCTGAAAGCCTGCACTGCTGCCTAGGGCCTGCAGAGCTGGGGTGACCCAGGTTAAGAGAAAGGAGCTGATACTATGGGAGGTGGGGGTGGTAAGAAATCACACAGACTGATATCTAAGAGCTTTACAGCGATTATTTCACCAAGCACGGGGGAGGGGGCAAATTGTGAGGAGATAAGAGAGAGAAAAAGTAGATTTATCAAATCAGGTTTGAGGGCTCGTGCTAGTCTAGCAAAGGGTGGATCTGCATGAACGACCAGGATGCTACACTTCCCAACAAACATTAACCAAGTATAGGCCATAAAGGAGTTTCTAGGAATCTGATCCGGCTTTGTCTTCCTACCAGCACAGACAGAGCTTTATAGTGATCCACTGCAGAATATGGTTGTTTTGTAGATAGGATGGTAAAGAGAGTGAATGATTAAAAACAATGGTGAATGGCTAGTATCTTTGTCAGCACACTATAAGTTAAGCACTGAAATATCTACTCAACACACAGGTGGGCAAACTAGAAGAAAACTTTGACTGTTAATTTGACTCTAAACCTGCAAAAATGTTTCATTTCCAGTTTACGTTCCCCATTTGAAATAGATAATTTAATTGCTCTACCACCTAATGTCATTGTTATTAGGTGGCGATGTCATCAAAGCATGAAAAGGATTAGAAAATGTGTTCATGTTGAGCACAGATGAAAGGATTTATCCCAGTGCCTGGTACTCTAAAACCACACACATTTCCCTCTTATTTGGCTAATTTCTTTTTCCTCCATTTCAGTGAGTCTGATGGGAACCACAGCACTGATGATGAGGCCACCGCCATGGACGACACCCCCGACAAACCAGAGGAGGCTGCTGGCTCCACAACTTCCATCATCTCTCTCTCTGCAGTCCCCTGTAGCACAGGAGGCCAGCTCATCCTCAACGGGTCCGGTGGCTTCCTCACAGCCTCTCAGCCATTACTCCTCAATGGGAATTCCCTGATCTCCAGTGCTGGTGCCGGTGTCATAATTAACGGGCTGAGCTTGGGCGATTGCCAGACAGTTACACTGAGTCCTGCTACAGCCAGCTCTCCTTTGATACTGAACGGGGCTCAGGTAATAACCAAATCTAGTATCAGTGTGCAGCAGCAGCCACAGCAGACAGTCTCTGTGGCAGAGCAGGTTTCAGCCATGGAGGCCAAGACAAGCAGTCTTCCAGCAGTTGTTCTTGGTACTAACAACACACCAGTCTCAAACCCTCCATCCATAATCTCTCTTCCTTTGCAAACCAAGACAGACAGTGGCAATGCAATGGATTACATCGGTATGCCTGAATCAGAGGGCAACAGCCAGACAGTATCTTCCTCTTCTTCATCTTTATCCCCCTCTTCACCAACTCTGTCCTCTCCAAACAGCCTCCCCTCGCTAGTCCTGACACAAAACACCCAGGAGTCCCTCACCCTCCCAGCCTCTATGTCATCTGCAGGCATGGTTATCTCCAGTTCTGCTGTTCCTCTCCCCAGTCAACAAGGGGAGTATGTTGTCTTTGCCACTGCTGGCTCCCAGTTAAATTCTCCTAGCTCTGTAGTTTCCTCCAGCAGTGCCACCCCTCAGGTCTTCTCTCTGCCCCAGGTTGTGCCTTCCATCCAGGGTATACCAGTATCCCAGCTGGTCCAGCACTCCTCAGGAGCCCAGATGTCCCAGTGCCCTCAGTTGGTCCCAGTATCGCCCCTCACCTCACCAGCTCCTCAGTTTCAAAGCCCCCAGACAGTGAACACAGGCGCCAGACTGGCGCAGCAGCAACAGGATGCTTCAACAACTCTGCCTGAAGGTGCCGCAAACATAGTCTCTATTTCACAGCTTAACAACAATCAGCTGCCACAGCGAATGGCACACCAACTGGGGGATCAAACCACAAACTCCTCACCAAACAAAATCCAGGCTCCGCAGGTTATTTCCATCTCTTCCCCAACACAAGTAGTTCCAGTCCCCCAGGCCAAAGGCACCACACCAACACAGTTAGTCCCACTCTCCATGCCTCAGCTGGTCCCAGTCTCTTCCATCCAAACGTCCTCCACCATCTCTTTCCCCCAAGTGGTACCTGCCAGTCCTTCTCTCTCCATCCCCTCTGCTGGAGTGCCTTTACAGATTCTGACTTCAGCTCCTGCAGCTGGAGCGGTTGCACAGGGTCCTCTCAGGATAAACCAGCTGAGGCCCATTCAGAGCGTGGGTCCCCCAACCAGCATGGCCCCTGGTGTGCAACTCCTCAACTCTGGGATCATTCAGCTGCCCTCTGCTCCTCCAGGTACACTGAATTTATTAGATATTTGCAAATGTAGCAAGCAGAGCTGAAACGATTAGTAGACTGACAGAATATTAACCAACAATTGATTAAGTGTTTTCATCATTTTTCAAGCAAAACTACTCCAGCCTCTCACGTCTGAAATTTGATCTAAAAAAATCTACATATATTCAGTTTACTATCATATAAGACAAAGAAAAGCAGAAAACACTCACAGCTGACAAGAGAATATTTGGCATTTAAAAAAATGAACAATATCAAAATAGTCAATTAATTTTCTGTTATCTGATTAGTCAACTAATTGTTTCAGCCGTATCATTTTCTATGAATATTTGTCAGTTTTGTTTGTAAAATATTATTTTATCCATAACATGTAACACACCAAGGAAACATGTTCTTATGCGAAACAATAGAGCATCAGTAACTATAGAAACTCAAGGAAAGGAACGGGTTGTAATGCACACAGCATTCATTTTTTAAGCTAATAATAAATAACCTGATTGACGATTTTTTCTTACAGAAAATGTTAATTGTGAAAAATACATGTCAATATAAGTATTGGTCTGTAAATGAATTTGCTGCCTGTAAGTATACGTAGTAAAGAGCTGTATTGGTGCTGATAAAGTTGCTACATACAGTGTTGTGCCTTTTGTTTGAATGTTGGTGCACAATCTTGATTGCTGTCAATTTATCATTTGTCACCACTGTAGGTAACCTTCTCCTTGGTGGAAGCCCCTACCTGAGTGTCCAGCAAGGCAAGCTGATTCTGACCATCCCAGCAGGCATTCAACTCACCAGTTTGCCCCTGAAACCAGTCCCAGAGACTTCATCTATCCCTGCTAATGGCTTGAGCTCCGTTCTCACTCCCTCCATTCCTCCTGTGGCTTCCCACCCTTCAACCACCTCAGGCCCAACCCCCAGTGGTCTCACATCATCTCCTCTGAACTTCATCAACTCGTCTCCACCATACTGTGCTCCAGAGACTGGGGCCACAACAAGCCAGACATCTGCCGTCCCCTCCCCTCATACGCTGGACCATTCGGTCATCCCCACAACGCCAAACACTCTCACCCCAGAGAGCATGCTCACCCTCAGTCCCATGTATAGTGGAGTCACACCCAACACCCAATTGTCCCAACCAGCATGGAGCCCTGTGTCCCTCTCCACTTCAGCCAGTCTAACTCTGTTTGATGTCCGCGGCAAGGGGGACCTACCTGTAGACCCGGCTTTGTTAGGCCTCCCTGGAGGAGAGTCGCTGCTTCTGGGAAGCTCCTCTCTGGAGCAGGATGTGGAAGCCAGTTCACCACTGGGGAATCCAGAGGACATGGATGGGGACTCCAAGATTCTTACTCAGCTCCAGTCTGTCCCTGTGGATGATGAGCTGGGCTTGTAGTCCCTATGTAGCAACTCCATGCCTTGAAAAACAAAAATGATAAAACACACAGTAGGTTTTTTTTTTAATTGATCTGAAAGATTTTGTTCCATATTGTCATCCCTCAAAGACTTAAATGTCTTTTCCAACATGTTGAGCTTCTAATCATGTACAATGATGCTCTCTCAGTAGGGCCTGAGCTGGCACTTTTGATACAAACCCCCTGCTGCTCTATTTCACATAGATGGGCAGGGTTAAATGGGATGTTCACCTGCTGGTTCAAGATCAGACTATTTCTGTTTTTGGCTGAGAATTTTGCGTTCCAGAGGTTTTTTTTTTTTTTTTTTTAACTAAAATCCGTATGTGCCTTACCTGTTTTATTATATCCAGACAAAAGAACTAACACAGATTAGTCTGCTTGGCCCAGTTCCAGGTCCTGGTGTTAAAAAAAAAAAAAAACTATATTATACAAGGTGTCATGGTTTTGCCAAGTCTCTCAGATTGTCTTTGCAGTTTTGTGAACTGCTGCCAGGTTCAGCTGTCCTTAGAAGAAGATGCCTAAGGTTTTTTCTGGCAGTAGAAGCAGTTCGTTGAGGATCCACCACAATAACTATACACCGGACTATCTGGCTAATGGACAAATCTTGAAATATTTGCCTGCCTCTCCAGAATTTAAGAGATTTAGGAGTTTGGTTTGGTTGTTTTTCACAGCCTGAACATATTGTTCAACTAACACTCCAGGAACATAGTGAGGATTATATTCCTCTCAAACAGAAGTGAGTTGAGGCAGTTGAGCTTTATGTGAATCAGCTGAAATTAGTTTGCCTCCACTATTATTACATCATAGCTTCGAGGGCAATACAGTGTTTTATTACTACACGTTACTGAAGTCTGGGTTAAAACATGCAGCCTACTTCCATCTTATCAGAAAACTGTTAGTTTCTGCAGTTTTCTAGTGAGAATGCTGCCCCACATCAGTAAAAAGATACCACAGGAAATAAAAGGGTTTATACTCTATGCAATGCATGTTTAGTACTTTATAGGACACTAAGTAGCACAATGGCTGACTCAAAAAGCCAGTGCACTTGGGAGATGAAAAAGGAGCTTTGAAATACTGAGCTTTTAAATGAAGCATGACAGTGCGTTACACTAAAACGTTTGCTGTGATCCCACTAAGTGACATTTGTTGTCAAATGCATCTGAAATCTCTGTCCGTTGATATTGTTAAGTGCCTTATTTTAAAGCTTACAGGTCTGATGTTTTTGAAAAAATGTTTTGAGGTTTTACAAACACCAACATTTCTGTATCTGTTTGATCTCCAGTGAAACATAATGTGACAGTTTTGGTTGCGCAGTCAAAGCTCTATCTCCTCTTTTTGTATATTTTGCACATTTCATTCACACAATGTTTACGCTGCGCTGCCATGTTGTTATGACAGTGGTACGACTCATATTTCTTAATTGGACTGTAATAATCCCCACTTGAAAGAACAGCTAAAGAGGTAAATCAGAAAACAGAATACTGATTTCCTGATAAAATCTGTTGTAAATTGATGGAATAGCTCCTTCAATTTAAACCTATAATACTTGTCATTGTATGAGCTTTCTACTGTCATAAAACAGGTAGCGGTCAAATCTTTGACCAATTATGGTACACAAAAATATACTTCAGTATCGCATCTAGTTACAATAATGGCCTATGTGTTTTTTTTTCTTAGTATGTTTGTTGTTTGTCTCTTTTGTACATTTAATCTATTTAAAGCATGTATCAATCAGTTTTTAGTTTTAACTGAAAGAAAATGAGTCCTTGGGCGGGGGGGGGGGGGCTGATAGGAAATGATATTCATTTTCACTTGGAAGGTCACATTGTTGTGCAAACTGAGGTTTTACAATCTCAGACTACAGGTATTAAATCGATCATTAGGTCATTAATACTCATTTTTAAATAGGTCACCCCCATAGTAATAAATTTTAAGGTAATTTGTTCCCAGTGTTCTTTGGGTAGATAATGAAATAGCTTGGACAAATCAATTTTAGTCTGAATTTTACTGAACTTTTAAATTAGTTAAGGGTAAAGGGAAATGTGCTCTTTATATATGTAAAATATGGTAGCTTGTGTTTTGTTTATATGAGCCATTTCTTACCAAAGTATGTTGACATCAAAGCCTGTGAGGGCCTATGCACATTTTTAGTCCTGTTTGTTTGTAGTGTGGGATTTGTTTTTTACTCTCCTTCCTGACACATAATGTATATGACTCCAGATTTAACCAAAGATATTGTATTTTGATCGACTTTTTTTGATAGTTCTGAAAGGGATCATTTGTGTCTGTCATTCAAGGTTCTTGTTTTCTCATTTTTGTATTCAAATGCATTCTATTTTTTTATATTATATGATATTGTAATAAACTACATTTACAAACTGGTTATGTGTTTGTTATGAGTGTGAATTACTGCAAGCAGTAAAACTATTTGTCAGAGGAGTTTGCTTATAATTTGGCAAGAAAATTTTATTCAAATGCATTTTCTTCCTGCACAGTGAAACCGTCGTGCTCTCTTTCTCACTGGGTGAATGCCAGTATAGCAAAGGTCCAAAATGTGTGTGAGGGTGTGTACACATGTGTTTGTACAAGAGAGAGAGGGATGTATGGGGTGTTGTTATAACCCTGATGGTCTCAGGTTACCTATGATTTGATTCTGCCAGGGCATGATGATGAGTAATGGTAAACACACATGCAAGCCATAATGCTCCACAGAGGCTTCAGCTCTCTTCAGTTTTAACTTGATATTAAGAGAGGTTGTTAGAAGATATCCTCACACAGACTTTGGGCTGCCATCCAGTTTCCACAGCAATGATCTTCACAGCAGAGCAGGTGGCTTGTGTCTGCGAGGTCCTACTGCAGAGCGGTTGCATGGATCATCTTGCTGGCTTTCTCCGGACTCTTCCTGCTCCTTCCTTCTCCTCCTCCCCATGCCCTGGGGAGCTGGAGAGTGTGCTGAAGGCTAAAGCCGCAGTGGCCTTTCACCAGGGGCACTTCTCCGACCTCTACACCCTGCTGGAGGGCTTCCCCTTCTCCCCACGCAGCCACCCGCTGCTACAGCAGCTTTGGCTCCAAGCCCACTACATAGAGGCTGAGAGGCAGAGGGGCCAACCCCTGGGAGCTGTGGGGAAGTATCGTGTGAGACGAAGGTTTCCTCTACCACACACCATCTGGGACGGAGAGGAGACTAACTACTGCTTCAAGGTAGACACAATTTATATTATCCCAAAGTGCTCCCCAACTGTTATTTAGCCTTCTGGTATGCACTACATTGTACAAGATAGTTAGACGTCTATACAACTTTTGAATTTTGATTAGTTGTGAAAGAGGCAGACTGGAAAGACCTGCAATATAAAGTAACTGTTTACATTTACTCAAGTAGGGTACACACTGCAAGCACACTTTTGCAGCACTTATATTTTTTTAAAAGTATTTTATGTTACTTTATACTTAACTGTATTTCAGTGGAGAATCTTTTACTCTTTACTATTTGTCTGACATCTCTAATTGGGGTAAAATGAGTTACTTTGCAGGTTCAGACTACGGGAAAAACATATGATCCATCTCTAAGAGGTTAGTTGTAGATTAAGGTTTACATCAAGTACAATACAGGACTTTTACTTGTAAGGCACTTTTTCTCACTTCACTATCACTATTCTTAATTTAGTTAAGCATCTGATTTTCCACCACTGAGAAAGTTACAATGGTGGAAACAATCAAAAGTGTTTACACTTGCTTGAAGGGCTTTGACCAGGTTACAACATAACAACTCATCATGAATAAATATTGAATGGCAACACCTACTTTACACATAGGTAGCCTACTTTCAAAGGGTATTTCAGTTTTTTTTAGTGATAGCTTACATACACTAATCTGAATCTGAATGTGTCTACTGGGCACAGACCCAGGGACCCAAGGTGCAACTACAAAGATACATAAAACAACCACAAAGAGATACAAAATGGCTACACAAAGAAAAAAAATGGCCACACACACACAAAAACAAAAAAACAAATCAATCACAAATCGATTATAAAGAGACAAAATAACCAAGTGATTGAGACAAAATATTTGTGATGTAATAGCCTTCAGCTTTCACTTGATTAATTTGCTTTTTAAAAGGAAAAATCACGGATTATCCTCCGGGAGTGGTACCGTGATAAACAGTATCCCTCCACCCGGGAGAAGCGGGAGCTCTCAGCGGCCACCGGCCTGACAACCACACAGGTCAGCAACTGGTTCAAGAACCGCAGGCAGAGGGACCGAACCACCGACGTTACCGGGTCAGTGACGGGGTCGGAAACCGTCTCATGTTAATGATTGAATGCTGTCCTTTGCAGTAGCTAGAGTTGACATGACTGAACAACAGGTAAACGTAATGAGGTAGGTAGTTTATGTGGACTCACCGCAACCTGAAGACACGAACTAATCCTTGCCGTTTGAAGACAGTCTCGAGTCACAAACAAAATGTGCACATTAATCAATACTAATTAAAATCACGTGCCTAAAAACGTCACAGCTCGAATTTACATAAAATTGACCAGGAGTCGATAAAGTCCACCACGTTTTGGGAAATGAAAGGCATTGCCATGTATAGTGGGCATCAGAAGGGAACCAGCAACAGACTTTTGCCCCGGGGACACTCAGGGGGTTGATCAAGCCACGGTTTAGGGGAAAGTTACCATTTCTTCATTGGGGACCCAATGGAAATAAAGAGCAATAACTGTCAGAATTATATTACGCACAGCACAGTTATTTATTCATTAATTTATTGTGTCATTGTTCTGTGGTTCTCCTATTTGAGAACACAGCAGGTGGTGGAAGTATTATGGTTTGGGTGTCTTTACACCACCTGAACATCTGTAAAGCACATACAAGAGAACCGTGTTTCCAGTTCCGTCTGATCTTACAGCAACCTGAACTTTACACGTACAAAATGAGAGGAAGTTTCTGTTGCACATACATACACCTGAAACTACTGCAGTCAAATACAACAGTCCTGTTCAGTTTTTACTGAAATTGAGGTGTTAATTCAGCTTTTGGAGAATGCACTTTGTTGTGCTGCTGAACTGCATTACATTACACTGAGAGCTGTTTCTGTTCAACTTAGTTTTAGCTAGGTGTACCTAATGAACTGACAACAGAGTACACATTGGTAGCCTGTTGTTTTATTCCGTTTTTACATATAACAGCACCCTCTTATGGTTAAATTAGGGACCTGATGTAATGTTTAACAGTGTGTTGTGAAATATATTAAAATGTCATTTTCTCCCACTATTTTTATGTTTTTCAGCTCTACCTTCAGTTTCCAAACAGCTGGCTCTGGAGGACCCTCAGGAGAAGTCTACCTTTCCTCTGACAATGACCTGTCACCTCCAGGCAGCCCCCATCCCCAACACTACAGACCTCCTCCACCCCTCTCTCACCCACCACCTCCTCTACATCATATGTGTGAAGGCTTCATCTAAATCAGCCCTTCAGATGTCTAAATGGTCACTTCTCTTACTTGGTTGTTTCTTTTTGACAAGTATATTACATTACAATACAATATAAAACATTGTTTTGCTCCTTCTTGAATTTAAAGCCTGGTTTCTCAGTAAAACAAACATTTTGCAAGTAAAGTTTTATTACCAAAACATGACTCAGCAGACATTGTACCTTGACTTAAACATAGAACACAATATAAGACAGACTTTAAAAGTAAGCGACATATGGCTGGATTTAAATTCAACATACCAGTTCACAGATGTGCTGCAAAGCCCTGCAGAGGATCGACACACATTGGAAAGTCTCTCACTCATCCTTACACACTATGTTCCCACATGGTATCAAGACATTTATAACAATCATGTTCTTCATCTGGTTAAAGGAAAGATGAGACTAAGCTGGTAAAATGTTCATCAGCATTTTTGTGTTTTGACTTCCCAAAGGTGCATCAAAATCTGAAACCATTAAAACTTTATTGCTGACTTTTCCCTACACCTTGGTGTAAAATCACATTCATTGGCTTTTCACTCTAATATCATTACACAGACACAAACTGTGCAGTACAGCCACATAATATAGCTAGCCATTAATAATAGCAGGTTGTAAGGCCAAGAGGAGCTTCACTCATGTGAAGATAAAATGAAGATTATTCACAGAAATGACCTAGCTGTCACCATTTTCACTGTACGAACAGTGTTCACAGCAGCTCAGAGAGCTCAACTGATTGTGAAGTCTGTTATTAAAAAGACAGTAGTGCATCTCAATCATATTAATGGGGTAAATAATAGTAATCAATGATTAATAATATGGATAAGGCTAAGATTTTGTTTTAACAGGAATTAAGCAAAAGTATTAATTTAGAGGGCTTTTGAAATCACAAACACATTTCCCAGGTTCCCCTCAGGTACCGTGCTCATTAGCCATTACAATAAAATTTTAATTAAGACTCTGTATCCACTTCACATTCCCAGACAGTTGGAGAAGGGCCTCCAACTCATTCATTAAATGAAAACAAGGAAACCGGACCAGCAGGGACAAGTCTTTGGCAAAGTTCAGCTGGTATCCCAGTTCCATTTAGTTCATTTCATCGGGGTCTCCTCTTGTGCACCTGGTCCTTTATTCGTAACCAGTGAGATAAACAGCACTAGTACTCCAGAACAGGGTAACAGTGAGCAGAGGGTTTCAGGTGACAGCTGTGTGGACCTTCACCTCTAACATCTGTTAATGTTTGTGTTTTGTGTTCAGAAGCCCAGGTATTCAGCCAGAAACACAGCCATGATCTTGGTCAGGTTCTCTACAGTGGGACGGTGCATGTTCTCCTCTGTGTCGTCCAGCGTATGCCAGAACTGTGGGAAGGGAGTGGCAATGACATGTAGCACAGGGACACCTATATGGACGGATGGAGAGGAAAGAGGAAAGTAGTGATGCTGACTGACAGCATGTGTAATATACTTAGGACATACTGTATATATCCCAAAAAACATTTTAGTTTTTAGACTCCGGGAACAAATTTTCTCAATTTGTTCATCAATCAGGAAAGTGGAGAAGAAAATTAATCTACAGCTCCTCTGATAATTAACTAATTGTTTTCATAATTTTTAAAGTAAATATGCTAAGTATTTGTGGTTCCACCTTCTTAAACATCATGATTTGATGATTTATACATGAAGGAAGGTGGACTGAATTAGGGCTGAAGCTAACGATTATTTTCAATGTTGAGTAGTCTGCCAATTATTTTCTCGATTTCTCAATAAATCGTTAATTGTGAAAAAAAATGCCATTAAATTTCTCCAAGCACACTGTGATGTCTCTGTCTCTATATGTGTTTTGTCTCACCAACAGCCTAAGCTCCCTTCAGTGAACTTTAGGCCAGCACCACAGTCCTGAACTGAATGTGAGCTGAAAAAGGGAAGCCAGTGTAATGAACAGAGAAGGGTAGTGGTGTGGGAAAACTGAAGAGGCTGAACAGAGCAGCATTCTGGACTAGCTGCAGAGATCTGGTGTCAGACGCTGCATTGGTCCAAACAGACAATGACAAATGACTGGATGAGCACCTGGGCTGCCTCCCTGGTGAGGAGGGGAAGCATGCTCTACAGGAGCAGGCTACTGGACTGATCGTGAATTATGTGGCTGTTTGTATCCAGGTTTCCACCCAGATGTAGCGCAAATCTTAACCAAATTTCAATAAAATCCGATCTAATAAAATGGGACTGAATCAGCTGAAAAGGAGGGCGCCAGTCAAACTTCAAATGGTGGAAAAATGCTCCACAAACTCCACATCATATCGCTCCACACAGATCTGCTGTTTACATTCCATTTTGTCACATTTTGCTTTTCTCAATACACCAGCCTTCACACCTAAGCCAGGCATAAACACTTTATTTGTGATATTTTTAAGCTTTAAAATGTACATTAAAAACAGGTGGAGAGAAACCCACCTGGTGTTATCACTCACCTTTGTGAAGGAAGGGGATGTGGTCGTCCTGGACAGGTCCAAGATAAACATCCTTCCTAAAGTACGTCTGCTCAGAGGGGTGAGATGTCAAGAGGCCCTGTCGATGGAGTCTCTTCTCTGAGAGAGAGGCGTGAAGGCAGAGTGAGAGAATACAACAGCGAGGGATTTAAATATTCACAATAAAGCCACAGCCAGTACCTACCTGCAGCAATCAGACGATCAAACCAGCGTGCCGTGTTATCAAAGTGATTGGCGATCAGTGGGTCAGGACCGCCGAGCAGGTCTAGCAGCACAAAAAGGTCCTAGGGCGAGATTTGAAAGTCAAAAGACAGCAGTCAGTAGTTGGAAATGGGTACTGAATATTGAATTTCCTTTTAATCATAGTACATTTACAGATTTTTAGCCATTAACCATGACTGAGCTCCAGCTATTGAGCTTAAAATGGGCAGTGTGTTTCTGCTAAATTCAGCCTGATCATACATAATTTAGCATGTGTCTGCATCAGGGTGTGAGGAATGACCATGGAGGACGTGTATTTCTGTACAGAGCAACACAGTTTCCTCACCACAGCCTGGAGCATGGTGGTGTGTGAGGAGCCTGCGGGGTGAGGCGTGTTGGCCATCCGCTCAGCCAGGTGGCGAGAGCCGTACAGCGAGTCCGTGGCCGTCCACTCTTCAAACGACTCCTCACCGTCAAAAAACACGAGCTGAAGGGAGACTGGAAGTTTCTATACGGGAAAGAAGCAAATTCTCATTAAAATGCACTTTACAAAAAGCAAGCAACTGAAGCCAGTTTCTCTTTCTGCAGTGTTGTCGCAGTGTGTGTATGCAAGTATGTGTGTATTCCTACAGTAACTACATAAAGCACAGCCTCTGGAGAGACACTGCTATATACAGATGACTGCTGCATTCAATACAGGGGCCTAGAGTCAGCATTTTTTATCCTATACTGCAGCCTCAAGGCAGAGGGACAAAATGAGGGTCTGAGGGGAAAAAAGAAGAAAGAAAATACTCGTCAGCAGCTCAGATCTTTACTCTTTGTTATAGGAGGGAGCACAGGAAAGGATCGAACAAATGGGAAACTAATCTGTCAGCATCTGCTCCAACTGCCAAGATGACAGCACACACGTGTGAAAACACATCTGAACACACACCTGCTGTTTGAATGATCTAAGCTGGGCATCCAGAGAAGTGGCGAGCTCCAGGATCATAGCACAGGGCACTGCCGAGTCACTGGCCCCGAGAAACACCTTCTCTGGCGCATGGGGGTCGGGAGGCAGGACCTTGGAGTCATAGTGGCAGGCCAGGAGCAGCCTCCGAGGGGCTGAAGGGTCCAGAGTGGCAACGATGTTAGTGAAGGTGACCGGGCCTCTAGGGGTTGGAGACTTGAAGGAGTCTGGGTCTATGGACCAGCCAGCAGACAGCGAGGACAGGGTGGAGGTGATGTGCTGAAGTGGAGCAAGTAGAGGTCGGATTAAAGATGAGGGAAAGAAACAAAGAGAGTGAATGTGCATCAAAGATGAACCTATTCAAGTTTTAGACACACCTGCTGTACGGCCAGGCTGCCCTGTGTCCCTGGGAGCCTCTCTATCAGGATGGGCCTCAGGTGAGTCTCCCACAGACGAGTCCCGTCCACCTGAGAGGCCAGGCGGCGGAGTTGAGCTGGAGAGCACTTACTGGGTTTGTGGGATAACTGCAAGAGAGATGACAAGATCAATGATGAAAAAGCTGATGTGGGAAGAGGAACAGCGTGTGCTGTGAATAAAGAAAAGGGCAGGAGGTGAAGTAACAGCACTGAAAATGGAACGTAAGGGTTTGTCCTCTTTTTAGGTTTTTATGGTGCAGAACTGCTTGACTTCTCCTCTGATCCTTATTCTACATATACTGTATATTTGGTCCTTACTTACCTAATGTTGTCATTCTGTTACTCCATAATATAATTGGTATATCTATACTCTGTTTACACCCTGAGGTTTCTCCTTTTTGTCCCTGTTTAAGGTTTTATTTTGTAGAGTTCATGCTTATCTCAACTGAGGACTGATATCCTGTGTGGGTCATTTAATCGAAAAGTTGGTTGACAGAAAAAATTGGCTTCTGTTTTGATGCTTGATTAATTATTGGAATAATTTCTCAAGCAAAAAAGCCAATAACTCCAGGTCCCACCTTGTCAAACTTCAAGATCTTCATATGATACTTTTTTTAATATGTGCAATAATAAACTTTGCGTCTTTCACTTTTGGACTGTTGGTTGGACATGTAGTTCAAGAGACTGGGAAACTGTGATGGACAGTGTTCGATATTTTCTGAAATTTTTATAGACAAAATTATTAATTGAGAAAATAATCAGACGATCAATCAATTGTCATAACACTGCTGTGTGGTTGCAGCTCCTGTCCTGGTGATTATAAATTACTTTGAGGCTAATTCTGACTTGTGATGTTGGGCTATATGAATGATATTGACTCAACTAAAAAGTAAAGAAGAGCAGTCGTGGGACTGATAAACAACATCAAAACCAAGTGAAGTGAGACATGTGATCAGCGAGAAGTGGCACACCTGGGCAGCTACAGTGACTTTAAGTTGCTGAATGAATATTGTCCCTGCTGTACTCTTTGATACCTCGACACATCCAAAATACACAAACAAACAGAAGAGTAATAGTACTACGTAGGGCTACGAATAGCGATTATTTTCACTATTGAGTAATTTTTCAATAAATGTTTTAGAGGTATCATTTAGGCAAGAAAATTTCAGGAAATGGTGAAAAATGTCACAGACTTCAGCCCAGACTGATATATTCACATTGTTTATTTTATCCAACCAACCCGAATACACCCCAATAGAATTTATGCTAATATAAAACCAAGACAAGCAGCATTATGCTCACACTGGAGAAGCTGGGCAGTGACTGGCTTGCTACAATGATTCATTTTCTGTGAACTTAGTAATCAATTATTCAACTGATGGTCACAGCACTAAACAGTAGAGGGAGGAAAAGAACTGTTGAGGAAAATAACAACTACTACACTCAATCTAAATCTAAAAATCACTTATTAAAACTACTTTTTTATCAATTAACTTGTGCATTTTTGTATGTATGTACATATGTATTTCATGCTTGACATCTTATGTATCATAAAATGCACATTTTAGATTTGTGTCTTCTGTTTTACTGGTTTCTGCCTTGTTGATTTTAATCCTGTATCCTTTTTTTGTCAGTTCGGTTTAGAGAACTTTGGCTAGTGGTTTTCATGAATAAAAATAAATAAACTGTATTATTCTGAATAGACAATCATTGAGTCAAAACTTATAGTTCAGTTATGTCACCACTAACACCTGTTGTATCTGGTCAGTTGTAGCAATTACCTTGAGGTAAAGTCACTCCATTGCAAGTAAACCTTTTACAATCAAAATGTTACTTAAGTAAAATTGCACAAGAATTAACAGCAAATTGTGCTTTAAGTACTTATTATGCAGAATCACATTATGCAACTGGAGTATTACAGATGCATATATATATATATATATATATATATATATATATATATATGTGTGTGTTTGTGTTATATATGTTTGTGTATGTGTGTGTACATATTTCACATTTTAGCTGGTTAAAATAAATTTAACAGTAGTACAATAAAATAAATGCAGTAAAGTAAAAAGCAGTGTTTTTCTTTCAAATGTAGTGGAGTAGATGCATAGAGTAACAGAACATAGAAATACTCAAGTCAACTAAGTGCAGTATTTGATTAAATGTACCTTCCACCACTGAATCTGGTTATTGTGAAACGTCACATAAAAGGCAAGACAACAACACACCTTATTTATTTTTCAGTCATAACTCTTACCCTGTCTTTGGTCAGATCCGCGGTGGGCAGGCGGTTCACGTATCCACTGGTTGTGTCGTTGGACAGGTAGACTCCCAGCACCACCGCTAGCACCAGAAACCCGAGGAGACAGAACAGCAGTACCCGGGCCCGGGGCATCCGAACCCGGTCACAGCTAGGGAAAGAGCCGCTGCCGTTGCTCTGCTGCAGAGGCTTGTACCGTCGACTGGACCTGGACATGACTGGAGATACAGTGTCTTTTTACTGGGGCTCAGTGAGTCCTTAGGGCGACGTGTGGAAACTGCCCAACGCAGGAGGGAAATTCACACAGGAAGTCGAGGGGAGGCTAAACTAAGCTGAGTCGGGGGAAACAGTCTGTGTTTGCAACAGTCCTGTTTCAACATAATGATTCATCCTTCGCTTTTAGTCTGTCTTTTGAGGTCCCAGTCTCCCAGCAGCCGACTCCTCAGCAGACATGACTGATTTAAGTGCTTCTTTGATCCAGTTAATCCAGGATACACAGAAACATTCATTCTGTGGGTTTCTCTGGCTCCTGCTGTTCATGGAGCAGCAGCTCTTCACCCTGCCTTAAACTCATTTTATATCCAGTAACAGCAGCTAATGGGAAAACTGCATCAAAGTGACCATGCAGCAAACGTGTATAACTCTTGTGGTGCAGACCTCCGAGTAAAAAATGTACAAATTTTACGCCTTCACATTATAGGACAGTTTAGCATAGTCTCTGATCAAATGGCGAAACTTCTCCTGTGTTTTTAATTGTGGTTGAAGAAAAAGCTTTGTACTGCAATAACGCCACCTATTGAATTGGAGTACAAACTACAGTCATATAAAAAAAAAGTTTTTTTTTGTTTTGTTTTTGTTTTTATTTATTATTAAAGCTACAGCTGTTAGTCAGCTATTTGATGCTTTTATTGGTGACACATGATAGTAAACTGAATATATCTGGTATCTAAATACATGTGTCTCCTCAGCAGTCTGTCAGAACGGAAGAAGCTTCTTGGATGAAACGTCTTCAGTCCAGCTGCCCTCGATCTAACCCTTCTTGAATAATATACTATGTGTCTCTATAATCTTGTTTCTTAAACTTCCCCTCCCTTTACACAACCATGCACATCATTGCATCATTCTCCTCTCTGTTCCCTGGCTTTAGTTTTTAGGAATAAGTATTTGTTTTGATGCTTTTCTTGAGAGAGTACTTGTAATAATGGATGCAGTTCAGAAAAAATGTATAAAAACATAAGTATGGTTTATTTAATTTAATCTTGCATCAGAACAAAACTTCTTATAATGGCGGGTTGCAACCGGGTGGAGTATTATCGCCACCCACTGTAGTGTTACAGAATTAACATATCCCTGTTGGCAGCCCTGTGTCTTGTGAAGACATGTCTCAAGAGTGAATTTCCAGAGCTGTTTGTCAGGATTATTTTACGTGTTCAATCCCTTTTGATCGTCGTTAACTGTCTTTTATTTACATATTTAGGACAGACAAAGACAACACGACATCGCAATTTCTGCTTGGATTCTTCCCAATGTGGCGTGGAGATCAATTTAATTCAGTCCTGATCAGATACTTGTGAAACTTCTTGGCTATGATTCCCCACTCCTGATTCTTGCTGGATTTGACGCAACCTTTAAGATCTCCATCCCATAACCTCTGCCTTTACATCTTGATTTTGCTCCAAGTTAAATATTTGGCTCTGGCTTTACTTATTTTATTACCAACTCTACTGAGTTAACTGTAAAATGTTTTTTTTGCAGGTCGATGTACTTATTTAATTCCCTACATGAGCTAGTGCTCACTAAAACTGCACATCCTATCCTAATATTTACATGACCTACTTCTCTGTCCCGCCACATTTGAAGAACAGATGCGGAAGCTGACAGATTCTAACAGTCTATTATGACATTCTAAACTCTTCTGATTGGTCCTCGGACATGAAGTCCCGTGTACTCTTGCCTCTGATTAGTCAAACAGCATATCGCTCTCTGCTGGTCATTAGTGACGTCTTCCGTACAAATACGACGTTAGCGGGATTTTCTGGAGTCATTCGCGCGTTCTTTTGTGAGGGTGGACGGACACCGTGTTCAGCCGCACATCGTGACAGCGAGGAGACACTGAACGTGTAGCCGGAGAGCTGCTAATTTCTTGGGAGACGAGTAACACCACACCGTGCCAGTATGCATGTGATCAAGCGAGGTGAGGAGTTTATTTTGTTGTTTTGGAGCAGAGCAACTCGGGCCTCAGCTAGCTTCATTGCTAACTCTGTCAGTAATGCGGATCTACCAGTCTTTAGGATCAGGTGTTGTATCATACTACCGAAACTCACAGGCGCTGCTTGAGTCGGCGAAGCAGCGTCAGTTACCTGCTCATCCACGTGGACGTTGACATGAACCACAATGTAATTTTGTGAGTCCGTCAGCTTCAGCTTTGTATTGAAATTATTGTTTATGGACTCAGCCATAATGAGCCTTTGTCATAGTTGGCGCCAAAAAGCCAAGTTATACAGTACTACCTGAATGTCACAGTGGCCCTCAGCGTGGTTATGATCGAGGAGATGCTGATTAGTTTGCTCAGCTTCTGCAGGTTGGTCATGAAGAGGAAACACAAAGGTCTGTCCGGTGTTTTCAAGCTTCGAAAAACGATTTGAAACTTATTACAAAACGCTGAGAAAAGTTACACGCCATAAGACAAAACCCTAAGATTATGTGAACTCATGGCCGTGTATGTAACCCCCCCCCCCACTTATTTTCAGCTGTATTTATAATTTTAACAATTTTTAGTTTTATTTGATTGTTGAAGCATTGTTGATTGTTTAATCTAATTACTGTACCTACTTTTTTGTATTCATTTTTAAGTTTCTGTTGCTTGGATTCCTTCCTGTATGTTTTATGCAGATATGCCTGTATGTTGATTGTTTTCTCGATTAATCAATTATTCGTTTTGTCAATAAGATGACACATAATAGTGAAAAATACCCACAGACCAAGGTCACATCTCTGAATGTCTTGTTTTGTCTGATTTAACTGTCCAAAATGCTATAGATGTGAAATTTATTATGCTGTGTGAAAAGCAAGTAGCTGAGTTCTCAACTACAAGCCCTTTGTTTTAAACCAGTTCTTTAACAAAAACTACCGCACAATTGTCAGCAATTGAAGCAAAATCTGTCATTTTTCTTTAACAAAAAAAAAGTCCAAAAGAGGAATTCCTCACAATAATCGACTGACTTGTCTCTGAAAAGATGAAGCAAGACTCGGGATATAAAAAACATTTCTAAAACAACAGGAAAAGATAAGATTAAAAAAAAAAAAAATGAAAAGGAAGGAAGATATTTTTACTTCAATATGATGACAAATGATACAAAAAAATAGTGAGTTTAAAAAGAAAAAAGAAAAAAAGTTTGATTTATTAATATTTAGAAAGTGTTGGTTCTAAAAGAAAAGTGATGAAACATCCTGTTTGACTAAGATCAGTCCAGACTGGGATTTCACTGGATTTGTCATGAATTATTTTTCAACCAGCGATTACTTTTATCTTTATTGATTTCTGAGTTTCATTTTGCTGACTGACAACTTGGGACACTGGTGATTTAGTGTGTATTTGTTTTGTTTTCCAGATGGACGCCAAGAGCGCGTCATGTTCGATAAAATCACCTCTCGTATCCAGAAGCTTTGCTATGGACTGAACTCTGACTTTGTGGACCCGGCCCAGATCACCATGAAGGTGATTCAGGGTTTGTACAGCGGAGTCACCACCGTGGAGCTCGACACGCTGGCAGCTGAGATCGCCGCCACTCTCACAACCAAACACCCCGACTACGCCATCCTCGCTGCACGGATCGCCGTTTCCAACCTGCACAAAGAGACGAAGAAAGTGTTCAGTGACGTGATGGAGGACCTGTACAACTACGTCAACCCTCTGAATAAAAAACACTCCCCCATGATCTCCAAGGAGACCCTCGACATTGTTCTTGAGAACAAAGACCGCCTCAACTCGGCCATCATTTACGACAGAGATTTCTCCTACAACTTCTTTGGCTTCAAGACTCTGGAGCGGTCGTACCTGTTGAAGATCAACGGCAAAGTGGCCGAGCGTCCGCAGCACATGCTCATGAGAGTGTCTGTCGGCATCCACAAAACTGATATCGATGCAGCCATTGAGACCTACAACCTTCTGTCAGAGAAGTGGTTCACCCACGCTTCTCCTACACTCTTCAACGCAGGAACCAACAGGCCACAGCTGTCTAGCTGCTTCCTGCTTGCCATGAAGGATGACAGCATTGAAGGCATTTATGACACGCTGAAGCATTGTGCCCTCATCTCCAAATCGGCTGGAGGAATCGGCGTGGCGGTCAGCTGCATCAGATCAACAGGGAGCTACATCGCTGGCACAAACGGCAACTCTAATGGTCTGGTCCCCATGCTGAGAGTTTACAACAACACGGCGCGTTATGTCGACCAGGGCGGCAACAAGAGACCGGGAGCCTTCGCCATGTACCTGGAGCCATGGCACTTTGACGTGTTTGACTTCCTGGAGCTGAAGAAGAACACGGGTAAGGATGAGCAAAGGGCCAGAGATCTTTTCTATGCCCTGTGGATCCCTGACTTGTTCATGAAGAGAGTGGAGAGCAACCAAGACTGGTCTCTGATGTGTCCGAACGAGTGCCCCGGGCTGGACGAGTGCTGGGGGGAGGAGTTTGAGCAGCTCTACACCAAATATGAGAAGGAGGGGAGGGTCAAGCGAGTGGTGAAGGCTCAGCAGGTGTGGTATGCCATTATTGAATCCCAGACAGAAACTGGTACACCGTACATGCTGTACAAAGACGCCTGCAACAGGAAGAGCAACCAGCAGAATCTGGGCACCATCAAATGCAGCAACCTCTGCACAGAAATTGTTGAATACACCAGCCATGATGAGGTGGCGGTGTGTAATCTGGCCTCCATCGCTCTCAACATGTACGTCACCCCTGAGCGGACTTTTGACTTTAAAAAGCTGTCACATGTGACTAAAGTAATCGTCAAGAACCTGAACAAGATCATAGACATTAACTACTATCCAGTGGTTGAAGCCGAGAGGTCCAACAAGCGCCACCGGCCAATAGGAATCGGTGTTCAGGGTTTGGCTGATGCCTTCATCCTGATGCGTCACCCCTTTGAAAGCCCCGAGGCTCAGCTGCTGAACATCCACATCTTTGAGACCATCTACTACGCTGCCCTGGAGGCGAGCTGCGAGCTGGCCGCCGAGCTCGGCCCCTACGAGACATATGAAGGCTCTCCTGTCAGCAAGGGCACCCTCCAGTACGACATGTGGGAGAAGACGCCCACTGACCTGTGCAACTGGAAGCTGCTGAAGGAGAAGATCGCCAAGCACGGCGTGAGGAACAGCCTGCTGCTGGCCCCGATGCCCACAGCCTCCACCGCCCAGATCCTGGGCAACAACGAGTCTATTGAGGCCTACACGAGCAACATCTACACCCGCAGGGTCCTCTCCGGAGAGTTTCAGATCGTCAATCCTCATCTGCTCAAGGACCTGACGGAGAGAGGACTGTGGAACGAGGAGATGAAGAACCAGCTGATAGCTCACAATGGATCCATTCAGGTAACCATCCGGGTCACATCATGCTGATTTCATTATTCTGTTTAGTTACATTTACAGAAATCTGCTCACGTGAGCTTCAGAGTAACTATAGCAAACACATCAGATTTCCTCATGATTAGAGCAAAATGTTTGCTGGTTCTCAAAAGTGAGGAATTTTTTATTTATTTATTTATTTTTTTGACATTTTATACACTAACGATCATTCGATTATAGCAGTTGTACTGTGCAGGGCCACAACTAATGATTGCTTTTATTATTGATTAATCTGCAGATTATTTTCTCAATTAATCGTTTTGTCTATAAAATAGTAATTTGCAGCACCGTGTTCAAAACCCCAAATGTTCAGTTCACTCTCAAGAACCACTAGCTGAAATAAAGGAGAAAATCCTCAAGTGTTAGAAGCTGGAACCATTTAATGTTTGGCATTTCTCTCAAAACTGTCTCGTTATCGAATTAGTAGCTGCTCTGGTGTGGTGACTGTTCTGTCTTAAACATTTAATGATCAGATTGTTTTTATCTCAACAGGACATTGGTGAGATTCCAGATGATCTGAAGCAGCTGTATAAAACGGTGTGGGAAATCTCCCAGAAGACCATACTGAAGATGGCCGCCGACCGTGGCGCCTACATCGACCAGAGCCAGTCCCTGAACATCCACATCGCCGAGCCAAACTACGGCAAACTGACCAGCATGCACTTCTACGGCTGGAAACAAGTGAGTGACGCCTGCAGGACAAATCAGAACAGAAGAACAAACCACTGTGAATGCAACAACGGTGTGTATTGATATTCTCTTCTCCTCACCGCAGGGTCTGAAGACAGGAATGTACTACCTGAGGACGAAGCCCGCCGCCAACCCCATCCAGTTCACCCTCAACAAGGAGAAGCTGAAGGAGCCGCAGCCGGACAAGTCCTCAGAGCAGGAGATCAAAGAGCGTAACACAGCAGCCATGGTTTGCTCTCTGGAGAACAGAGACGAGTGCCTCATGTGCGGATCTTAAACGGTTCTTCCCTCCACTAATTTCACTCTTACCCCAACTCTAACCTGCTAAAGCTTGAGGTTCTGTTAAATACACCTGTTCTGACTTGATACTGAAGTTTTGGGTGATGCACCTGATCTTATACAAGTGCTTCCATAACAATTCAGGCTCCAGCATTCTTCTTCTTTAGTTATTCTTGAAAGCACTGCCGGGAGCTTGTCACAATATATAGAATAAATTTTTATTAAATGTTACATCAACTCACAGCTATCAATAGAAGGCACAAAGTCCTCACAACACAAAACGTTTTTTATGATGGAAATAAAGATGCTTTGTAATAGAAAATAAAATGTTTTATATGCAAGTTGTTGTCATTGTTTGTGGCACGCCGGGGACATGATGCACAGTGATGCAGGGCTACAACTAGGGCTGAACGATATGCAAAAAAAAAATCATTCATACATTAATCATACGAGTCACGATTTCAGTTGGAAAGGTTGTTTTTGCATTTCACTGAAAAAAAAATATACAAATTATTTATTTTTTGCGGGGTTTGTACCAAACAAGCTTGTTTGTTTATGTCTGTAGAACAGGATTTGTAGGCCGGGCATCTCTGTAACACCACTGATTCATTTATGGTGTGACACATTTGACCTTTTAATCAAAATATTGTAGCTCCTCCGATTTCGATATCCTACTTGGCCATTTTGGCAATTTCGATTTTTCTGCCCTAGTTACAACTAATCAAGATCATTACCATCAATAAAATGATTAATTGTTTTAGCTGTTTCACATCAACTCAAGGTGTAAAATGTCCATCACAGTCTCCTAGAACCTGAGATGTCCAACACTTGAAATATTCAGTTTGCTGTAATGCAAGACCAAGAGAAGCAGCATGTTGCAGCAGATGTTGGGGGTTTGTTTGGAAAAATTACTAAAATGTTAGTTTAGAAATTATTGTCCATTAAATCTATTTTTTTTTATACAAAATGTTGATTCAAATAGTTGCCAATTATGTCAGTTAGCTTTTTTTAAAGTAAAATCTGCTCTAGTTCTAGTGATTAAGATTTGGCGTTGAAATGAACAGTTGATAAACAAACTATATTGATAAATTGATCAGTTCAGACATGATCAATTAAAGGTGCCAATCATTCTGGTTCCAGCCTCTCAAATGTGAGGATTTGCAGTCTTTTTTTTTTTTTAACGAACATTTTGGGGTTTTGAACTCTCGGTCAAAGAAATCAAACAATTTGAAGATGGGACATTGGGCTCCAGGTGTTATGTGTATTTACTTCATACACAAAACCACTGTAAAAATAATGAAAAACATTAATTACAGTCATAGTTTACTATTGCTTGTGTAACCTGGGAAAAAAGTCTATAAAGTCTATAGTCTAAAGTTTATTTAAAGAATGAAAATCAGCAAATGTTCTGATAGTTATTTTTTTAATATATTTTTTATAAAATAATGAAAACATAATTTACACTTTAAAATGTACAAGTTATTATTACAACCCAAAGAAAACTGTTCAACGAAACATTTCTGTCTGCGTGTCATGTACCTCTGCCACATGCAGAACGCACCGATGAGCAGAGAGGAAAAGACGACGCCAGAAAATAGAAAAAAAAACAAAGGAATCATACAAATCAATTTTGTACACAGATCAGAAATAAAACAGCATACACAAATAAACACAGTACCCTCTCATCTTCACTATTGTCTGCAACAGTGGCCAATGTTAAAAAATAAATTATCAAAATATTTAACATCTAAAAACAAACCTAGTTATACAATATTACCATAACTTTAATAATGAATTATTGATTTGTTCAACAGGGATCGTTGTGTATGCTATAAATAGCTTAAAATTATACATAACATGGACAAAATTTATATATATATATATATATATATATATAAAAAGAAACCTTGCCCCTTTTACATAAGCAAACTAAAGATTAAGACTTGCAGATACTAAAATCACAGCTACACCTCCCAAGCTTCATGAGTGAAGGATTTCCTACTGGAGGAATAACAGGAGTGTGTCACTTGGAGCCTGATCCAACCTCCTTAAAAATGTCCAAACCTGAAACCAGAATAAACACGGGAGCCTTTTGATGGATTACCTGAACCCCATTAAAGCACAAATCTGTTTATGAAAGACTGATAAAAGTATTTCTGAACCCACAGCAAAAAAAAAAAGTCCAAGGAGCTTTAGATACAAACGTTACTGGTATCAAAGTTACTGGGATGACAACAGCCCAACTTGAAGCTGTAAAACTGGCTGCCGGAGAACAAGGAGGCGGTGACACTGAAGCAGATGCAGTTATTTGTTTTGGTTTTTTTTTTTTTGGGCTGAAGAGAAACAGGAGAAAATGGCAGTTTTCTGTCTAACTCAGTTAACACTTGTTCCCTATTGTGTCAGTGAAAGAAAAGTATTTTTGAGAGTAGGCGTGGGCGATATGGACAAAAATCCTTTATCAAGACATATTCAATTTTAACTTTAAAACTTGAATGAAAATCAATTGAGAAACAGTTTATATTTGTCTGTTTTGGGATAAGCCAGCAAATGAATTGCTAACTTATTGGCCTAAATCACCCAGAAATATTAAAGGGATAACTACAACGGTATAAACAAGATGTCAACATATCTGATTGCAGACAGATTTAAATTGTCTCACAGTACAATGCACCATATCGCCCACCCCTATTCGATGGTATAGTGTCATCAACAGCATCTTGAAAAACCTGAGCGAGTCGGAAAATTCAAACGAACAGATCCAGTCAGACCAGAGAGGAAACCTCCTGACGAGTGAGAAGTAGCTGTTCAACAGGGCAGAGCAGGAGATGAGAATTTAGTACAATTTCATCAGCAATTAATAAAGAGAATCACATTACCAAACAGGAAGATAAGATTCATCCTCTGCAGGGATGTAGTGTCCATTCAGTACCAGCATCCAAAAAACACAGAGACACACATTTCTGTATGAAAAATAGATATAGTAGACAATATCATTAAGCAAGCTAGCTGTATAAATAGTGTCTTTTGTGTTCATTTGGGTTTATCACAGAACACAGGGACAAATCCTCTCATACACACAGACAGTCTGGTTCTGATATGAAGGAGCTTCAGTGTTGTCCAGTGAGTTTCATGTACAGTAAAATGTTTTCTATAAGCACACGTTACTGGTGACATAGCTTCATTTTGATTAGTACACAAAGGAGATGCAGTTACAGGAATAGTTTGACATTTTGGGAAATAAACTACACATTTGCTTTCTTGCTGAGAGTTTAATAAGAAGATTGACATCACTCTCACGTTGGGTGATCACCATGTTTGGTTATTGTACTTTGGCCCACTTATCAACACAATTTGTTCATTATAACTAAGTTAAATCTGAACACACAGACATGATACACATATTTTTAGATTTGGTGTGATTTGTTTTTCCGAGGATACCATCATCTCCAGTGTCCAAGGAGAATAAACATCCATAAACCTTCTTATGGAAATAATAGCAAAAAGATGCTTGTTAAAACTTCAGAACGAGAATCATCATGTTTTTAAGTTTTCTATAATATCAAAGTCATTCAGTGATAGTGGTCGATTCTTCACTGGTACATAGCATGAACAGGAATCACTAATAGCAGATTTGGTGTACTTTGTTTTCAGATTTGTAGCCCACAGCATAACTCACTGAATCCATGACATTCGTTTCTTTTAAAAGTTTACATCTCGACTTTTGATGTTTAAATCATTGATTTAGACTGATATTTAAGATCATAAGATACAGGATGGACAAAAATATTCCCTCACAGAAATAAAAAATAAAAATGGTGCAACTTTTCAGGGCAGGTTCTGAAGTCACCGTGCTTTTGGTAATGTGATGTGATCAAGTCTCATAAAAAAATAATAGGTTTGCAGCGGCTATCAGAAATTTCTAACCCAGTCACAGAGTTTGGTCTAACACTGGGACCAGTTGCCAGGCAACCAGGCAAGTCTCCAGAAAGTTACTGCTACTGGCCAAGAACAAAAAAGAAAAAGAAAAAAAGAAACTTTGCCATGTAAAATGGCCAATTGTTGTTTATATAAATTAGTTTTTAGATTAGACTGTTTCCAGTCTAATCTGAGGTGAGACTTTATCACTTATGATGGAGAAACGTTAGATTCTAACGTCTCCAAAAGTTGAAATGGTTAGAGTGATGAGGTATCAATCTTTTCATCCAGCAAAGTGAGCAGGTTTAGATTCTTCCCAAAATGTCCAACTATCGCTTTAAATAATACAAAAGAAAAGTAAGTTGAAAGTACTGTACTGTGATAACGACTCAAGGCTAAAATAATTATCCAGTACACTGAGATCTGAGATGACGCGGCACTACTGGAGACAGTGAGAATTAAATTCAAAACAACGCACTACATTAGAGATATGATACTGGTATCACTGAGTTTCTGACATCGACCGTTTCCACTCAGCACGCTGATGGCTTGTTTCACATCTATGGGCCACGGTTCATCCATGTAAACGGAGGAAGGAAAAATAATGTGGCCCACAAGTTTCATATTACAGTAAACTAATTTGTTCATCACTCAGTTGTCCATCACATTCAACCGCTTTCTCACACGCTCACATTAACACGCGCACGCACACACACACACACACACACACACACACGCACACACCAAAGGGTAATAAAACACATCTAGCCTTTGAGCACAAACACTGTTGTGCAGTAATGCTTCAGAGTATTCGCTGTACCATCAGTTACACACACACATACCTCTTTAGTACAACTGTTATGCAATATCAGTACAATATAGATAATATTGATACATGAGAATTGTACCACACAGGCATCTATCTACAGTACCATGTCTGTAGAGATTCCATTACTTCTAGTGCATTCTGGGAGATGCAGTCTGTAATGAGTCTTTTTTTTTTTCTTTTTTTTTTTGGCTGATTCGCTGCAGGAACAGTATTAGGCCTCTCCAGGTGATGTAGTGTTCTCAAAAACAGTCAGGTTCTCCTCTCCTAGTCGCTCCTCCGGCATAGTAGCATAAGTATTTGTACATATAAGACTTTTTGACTTCAGTTTATAAAAATAAACAGGCTCAGAGAATAGAGAGGGAGGGGCTCTGCTTTGTCTGTGCACAGGCTCGGTAAGACTTGCGGGAGTGTTGCATTTAAAAATCGTATCCTTCTTACTCTCTGGTTTAAGGCAGTCCAGTGGAAGCTGTATGAGGTAACATCAGTGTGACCTCTGCCTCCTGAAAGAATATTTCTCTCACACTCGCCCTCCCTCTGGCCTGAATCTCACGCTCTTCTTCTTCTTCTGCCGCCGTTGATCACTCCCTCTTCGAGTCAGTTTCGTGTGTTAAGGAGTGAGCCTCGTGGTCACTTCCTGGCTTGTTGAGGGTGGTAAAAAACACGCTGAACTTGCGCAGCTGCTCACTGGCTGTCTGACTTTCTACCTGCAAGCGCTGGTTGTTCTCTCTCAGGTTGGCCATCTCCGCCAGCAGAACGACTTTATCCTGCTTCTCCTGATGGTAGATGGAAAAAATAAGGAGGGAAGAAAAGACATGATCACTGTTCAGGTCAGTGTGGAGGGACGAAGATTGGAACTTTAATTCATCACTGTTATTAGAGGAATAGTTTGACATTCATACTTCCATTTGCTTTCTTGTCGAGAGTTGGAACAGAGCAAGCTAGCTGTTTCCCCATGCTCCCAGTCTTTATGCTAAGCTAAGCTAACTGACTGCTTTCTGACACCTCATTAAAATGACAATTTGTAGTTTTATGCAGAAGTTTGGGGACCTTCAGGCAAGTTACATATTTTGTTGATTTTTGAAGTGAAAGGAAGTAAATACAAACCCTGCAACAAACAGACACTGCAACTTTTAAACAATAATTACTTGTACTAAGCGAGTACTCAGAAACCCTCCCTTTTAATACTATTGATATTGAAAAAGCTTTTTGTTTCCAACTAAGAATGTTGTATTTACTTTTCACAAATCAACAACTAATCAACTAATTAATTCGCCTGAACTATTCTTCTAAAAAAAAAACAAAGTATTTCTTAGGTGGCTTGAACAAACACATCAGTAAATTTTATCATGATTTATTTATTTGACAGTTAAATTATTAAAAGAAAAGATTTTGTGCATATAACATTGATGTCATGTCCTGGGTTTAAAACCGGGCCCAACATTTTCTATGTATATCTACTTATAACTGCTTAACCAAGAAATAAAATAATTGTGAAAAACAAAAGATTCTCACTCTCTCCAGATCATTATTCAGCTGTTTCAACATGACTTCCAGGTGGTAGAGCCGACCCGACAGATCGTTGGGAACCTCGTCACTGTAGACACACACAGCACACATGCAGGTGATGAAGGAAGAAGACAGGTGTGTATGTGCATTCACTGTTGTGTATGACTGTTTGAACCTCGTAATAAAAAGCTCTTCATTATCAGGAATATCTTCTTATTCTCGCTGCTCACTGGCAGAATAAACACACTCTCTGGCAACAAACAAGCCGGTACCACGACTCACACAACTGTTTACTCAAGTGAGAATACACAGAGGAGTTAAATAACCTGAGGATTCAGTTCAAATCCTGACAGCTCAGTGAGTTACCACAAGGTGGCAGTGGTGACAAAGTACAAACAAATGCCTGGAGACGTAACAAAGCCATGAATATTTAAAGGACTTGAATTTCTAGAGTTCTGTAGCGGCGATACTTTACAACAAATGTCGTTTGTTTCATCTGTTCGTCGGTGAAATTGACCTACCCGCTGAAGGTCGGTGTGGTCCGTGGTGTCTGAGGAGTGTGAAACTGAACTGGACTTATGACTGGTCTCATGTCTTGACCTCCAACCTGCGGCTCAGTCAGTGAGAAGAGGGAAACCGCTCTTTGTGCTGCAAAGGGAGACATGATTGTACTTTCAAAAAGCTGCATAAATGAGTCTTTTTGCTCAGGTGTCCCTCGGGATATGTGACACAATTACACCTAAACACAGGTGGACCTGGCAGCAGGTGAGGCCATGGATCAAGTGTTGGCTTCAGTCTAATGTGTTTGTTTGTTCTGTGATAGTCATCAGAGGGACACGAGGGACATCAGAGAGACCCGGGAGAGAAACAGTGGCTGGGAAGCAGAGCAGGTGATCGGGTACGAGCTGTAGTCGAACGCATAGATCCCTCTTCTTTCCCAGGAGTGTCGTGTGACAGAGGCCAGCCGAGACACGGTGAAACCAGTTAACCACCAACATCCAGACAATAAACCACACACCCACCTTACAAATTCATCATTACAACAAAGCTGTTACACTGTTGTGCAATTTACATTTGTTTAGCATTAAATTGATCAACAAAACCAGAGATAAGTCTGATGCGATGGTACAATGTAAAGCAGATGTGCATGTGTGTGTGAATGTAAAGACTTTCAGTCAATTCTAAGTACATCCGAAACCTGCACTGCCTTGTCTGAGCATAGCTGCTAATTCAAGACTTTTTGGTCCAAACTGCGACAGAAAAATCCACAGAAACCCCACATACATCACATTAAGAACCCCACACTGATGGCAGACAGAAGACTGATCATACAAACCTAATCTTGAAGGGTCTCTATCCTCACCTTCATAGGCCTTAGCAGCGTTGACCAGGCTGGACCACTCCAGTCCACAGGCTGTGTCAGGAAGAGGCATCAGCCCAGGATCCAGCCTCCTCAGGGGAGGAACTTTGTCTCTAACTTCTGTGAGAGACAGCTCTGACGCAGACAGAGGCACTGGGGGACACGTGAGGAGAAGAGCTGCAGTAAGTAAACAAACCTCTGCATGAAAGAATGGCATCTACATCCCATAAGGCTGAAGAAAGTTATGAATGCAACAAATACAGTGTGCATTACAATTACAACAGGATTGCTTTCAAGCTACCACTGAGCTCCGTAGGTCTCCAGAGAATGAAACGGTTTAAACATACCCTTCTTGCTCTGCATGTGGTTGGAGGAGACGGCGTGTCTGCGCGTGGGCAGCGTGCAGGTGAACAGTACGTCGGTGGGAGTCGTCTGGTTCTCAGAATTGGCGAAGCTGGCGTCCCTGCGCCCGCTGCACAGCGACTCATCTGAAAAGGTGCGCTGCAGAGTTCGCCTGGGAGACTACAAGGAGAAAAGTGAGAGAGATCAGAGCTGTGGGCGCAAGTTCAAGAAAGTACGACTGTTAATTGAAGCCTGATATGATGGTCCACTAGAGTTAGTGTCTTCCTCACTGGATCTCTTTGCGGCATCTCTCCCGGGTTGTCCATGATGATCAGTTTTTTCAGGTCGTCCTCGATCGTGCTCTTATACGTCCGACGTGGGGAGCGCAGGTCCCTCAGTGATGCTCGGAGCCGAGGTTGTCCAAACACGTTCTTTGAATTTGTATCCACATGCCTGGAGACACAAAACATGAGCATCAAGAACACAAAGGTTAGAATGTATATTCTTAGTCATGTGTTTACAGCTCAGTACATTAGCAGCTGATTTTAGGCCTGACTCTTCCAAAAGAGAAACACTCACGAATTTTCTATTAAAGATCCATGTTTACAATTACTAACTACGGTAATCTATAACTGAAATAAAGCTCACTCCATTTCAAAGATTTAACATAATGATTTTCACCACTGGTCACACTCTCAGCCTGTTATTCCCACTGAACATACACTGTCATTTTCTAGCAGCAGATAACAGACAGTTTTAAATCTTTGTGCTCTCCATTAACCCAATTCATTTAAAGACTTTTCGTACTCCAAGACCATAATGAAAGCTGCAGGGGCAGGTACTTGAAACCAACCCCCACTTAGTTAATGAAGATGTCCAGGCAGAGGAGCACTAAATCGAAGCTGATGATTTTAAGCTCTCAGTCTCTTGTCTTACTTCTTGCTGTTGCTGTTGTCAGAGCTGGATGCTGTGGTTGTGTTTGATGGCGATGAGCTGTTGTCTTCGGTCTGCCAGGCGGTTTGTCTGCTCTTCCCATATAAGGCCTTGGGGGCGGAGCTGGACAGAGGGATGGAGCCTAAGTGAGCTGAAGTGGGTGTTGTTGTAGAGGCTCGGACATGCCGCGCTTTCTCCGCTGTCGGAGTCTTGTAACCCTGTGGTGTGTAGGCCCTGAGAGGTCGGATGGGACACACAGATATACACGAGATTAATGCATCAGAATCGTCATCAGTATAGTCAAACAGCCACTGGAAGCTCACTGTGCTCACTTTCCCTGACAGAAGGTCAACGGCCACTTGGTGTGACACAGGGTGTAGGGTTTGTATCAGAAGTGAAGCGGACAGATGAAGTTATAAAAAAAAAAACAAAACAAAATAACTGATGGTCAGCAGGTATTCTTTTCAGACTGCATACAGCCCAGATAACATTCAGGTAGGGCAGCTTGTATGTAGCCTGAGAGGTAAATCCCAGGGCAATAAAGACTCAACAAAAACCTCCCTACCTCTTGTGTGTGATGCACCATGATGCAAGGTAAATTAATTTAATCGAAAAGAACAAGATATTCAGAGGTGATTTTTCTATTCTCAAATACATCCTACATCTAATTTTATCAATTAATTGCAGGATCGATGAAATATTTCAGGTCACAAAAAAAGACCTGACTGCTAGCGATGAGTTAAAGCCTAAAGAAGAAATAGTAATGATGCAGTGAGTGACAGTTGTGGAAGATCCTCTGGCAAATAAGGACGTGATAAACATGCAAAATAAAGAACACAGAGAAAGCGCTCGTTGTCGCACTCAAAATGTTGACTTTTTTCAAAATAAAGGCTGCACTATGTGTGGTGCAGATTTATTCATTCTGGTTGAATGAATAAATTTTCCTCTCCTCCTCTTCATTGATTAGGTGATAAAAACAAGAGTATGCAATTAAAGTCCAGGTGGTGGTGTCCATTTAGCAACACTATATACATAGCAGATACTATATTACTGTATTGACAACAAAGGTAAATAGCACAAGAGTAATGAACTACTCCTATTATCGCTTATCAACTAATTTAGCTACGCTGCCTAACCATGCTGCATACTACAAAAGCAGGACCTGAAATGTCTTTTATCCGCTGAACCGATTCTTCTCCACTGCAAAACGAGCTAATTAGCAGTTGTATTAAAACATCCAAATTATTCAACTGACCTATTTATCTCTCAGAAGGTATTATTCAGCACCCAATCCTCTAACTACAACAAACCATCTACCTTACAACACTATTTGCCAAATGTCTGGTCCAACACATCCCAGGCACAGACTGCAGCTTCAGAGTCGATGGCTCAGGGTTTAAACACAGATTGTTTTAATCCAACACAGAGTGGTCCGAGCCTGTGTATGTCTGTGTGTTTAATGGCTGTATGTATTTACGATGTGGGGGTGGCAGTGACACGTCCACAAGCAGATGAGATCACATGATGACCTGTAGGTTTCATAAGGATTAGGCTTCTATAATCCTTCATGTATCCTTTAAAGATGAATTCTTATGTGTCACAGTGCTGTGATCTGTGATCTGGTGGTTGGTAGATAACTGCTGCTTGGTGGATCATTCACTAAAGGCCTCCCAAAACTTGGTATTGCAAAGTACACACCTTCTCCATTAAGCTAAGCAGCATTAAACTGCAAGTTTCTCTCTGGGATAAATCTGCCCCGTCTTTTACTGAGGTTAATGTTAGGTAATATTAGCTTCATAAAACACGCCGTAAAAGATGCATCTCATCAGTGACTTGGTCTCTTACCTGGGTTTGAAAGCATCCATTTTATCAGCACTGGAGCCAGGAGGCGGGAATGTCCTTGTCCGGTACCCTTTGTTCTGATTGGCTGCGGCTGGTATGATGGGCGAGGACTCTCGTCTCCTCGCTTCTCCCCCGCCACTGCTCCTTCCCACGGACAGCTCCTGGATGCCGCTGTAGGTCGCAGAGCTGTGCATGGGCTTGTGGGACTGGTTGTTGGACATGTTTCCGTGGCGGGTGTTGTTGTAGTGGGTTGAGGCGTCGATGCCGCTGTCGTTGGACCCCCCCTTGTTGAGAAGGTCGGGGTCAGGGTCAGCCGGGTCACCGAGGCAACCCCCGCCTCCACCTCGCTCTCCTCCGGCTCCTCCGTCGAACCAGCGCTCGTCGCTGTGGCTGCTGGAGGCGTTACTGGACAGCGTGTTACTGCTGGAGTGACTGGAGTACTGAGTCTCACCCTGCAGAGGACACGAGGACAACAGTCAGACTGAGAGTAAACGAGGCAGAGAAGGTGACATATGAACAAATGAGACAAGGTGATGACGACTCTGACCTTCGAGTGTCTGTTTGGAGAGTCTTTCCCTGGGACATCCTGTCTGGTTACTCTCCTCTGCCCCCCTCCACCACCCGGTGCCCGAGACGATGACGCTGGGACATGCCAGAGGGGTTCTAGACAGAAAACACACACAGACACTCACAGGATTAAAGCAAATTACACTGAACCTCCATGGTTGGCAAAGAGGATTAAATACTTATAGCACATTTAAACACTGACCTCCCCCTACCCACCAACGCACTAAAATCACACTCAGTTATCTCTGCTCTTCTGTGTAATACACACACTATTTGGCCACATAGCATCACTGTTTAAGGAAGAAACATTAGCATTTATTTGGGGTCTTGTTTCTGTCCATCTTATGGATCCAAATCTAATAATGTACCAAATGACAATGTGACAATGGGAAAGGGCTGAAGTGAATCGATGAGCCTACAGAGAATTATCACTTTATCATTGAGCTCTGCTTGGCTTTACAGAGGTTTGATGCCAAGTTTCAGCTCATTGTTTTCAACAAAAAACCCACTGTACACTACATGCTAAGCAGTGAACAGCAGACACAGTTAGCGACTAGCTGGTGAACATAGTAGAAACAGAAGTTGGTAGAGACCGAAATGAGAGTGAATCAAAACAGTTAAGTTGCTGTAAAATCAAAACAATGAGCTGAAAGATGCTGAAACATTGTAGAGCTGAGAGAAGAGAGTCGGGAGACAATTCCTGATCATAATATGAAAAAGTATTAATTTTAGCCTCTTTAAAGTAATGCTGCAAGTACACAACTTGTTGCAAATGAAATTTAAGAACATGGGGCCTGTAGTTTGTTTTGAAGGTGATGAACCTGTTTTGCAGCGCTCCATGGTGCTGTCCTGGCTGGTGAAGCCCGAGGACGACTCTCCACTGGAGGTGATGTCCACAGTGAGGTGGGGCTCATAGGGCAGCAGGGGGCGCTGTCCTGTTCCATATCTACACAGATCACAGGGGGGAGGGAAGAGGGTGTGTTATTAATGGACACATTCATGCCAATGTCTGTAGTAAATTTCTTTATTCATACCACATTACACGTTCACGTAACCAACTATACTGGAACACAGAGATTTACGGTAAAGGACACACACTAAAAAAAAAAATCCCCTTAAGCCCGAAAAATATACAGTTTGATTTTCAGTTTCTGTTTTGCATCCTGATGGCGGTTGAATAAAACTCGTTCCTCAGGTTGGGCGAGATGGTATCAGCCTCCACACTGTGAGGAAGAGCCACCCACACAACAGATCCTTCCTCTAGGAGACAGTGTGTTCATACACGTCTGACTGCAGACCTGAACACGCCACATTAATACAACCTGTCTCCTAAACCGATATAATCCGCCTCAAGCGCACAAAACAGTTGTTATGAGTCACATCGGACATGTTTAATCAAGATCAAAGAGGTGACAGAGGAGAACAAAAGACCACACACACACACCTGTCGGGGGAATGTTTGTAGCGTACAAAGGGGCCTGGTGTGATTCCAGGCGGTCCCATCGTGGAGAGGCCCACCAGGCCGGAGGAGGGCGAGGAGAAGCTTGCTGAGGGGTTTCTGTAGGGCAGCACTCTGTCGCCTCCTGCAGGAGACAGAGTGTAGTGGTTCTCTGGGTAGCTCACAGGCCTGGAGGACACACAGAGGGTGGAGGTTAACCAAGAGAAACACAAACAGATTTCAGGGAGGTCAGGGGTTTGAGAAAAGCTGCAACTGCAACACAAGAAACCATTTATCTAAATTTAGCGAGAAACCATCCTGTAAAAAAGCGATCCAGTTAGAACCTGTCAGGAACTGACTGCGGTTATTAACTCCAGTGTGTGATACCAGCTCCAAGTAATGTGTGTGGTTAGCAACTGAGAACAAAACAGTATATCAGTGTAACCAGAGTTTAAACACACTGATTCCTTCAGAAGACTATCCTAAACCAGTTCATACAGTTATAACCTATTTACACTGACACATTTTAATGTTTAGTTTGGACAGAGGAGCCTTGACCAAATCATTTTATTTTCCAAGTAGAAGTCTCTCAAAAGGACAACTGGCCAAAAGGGTAGCATAAACGCACTGTATTAACAATACATTAAAACCACATAGATGGACAACTGCTACAAGCTACAAAAGAATCTCCAGAATAATCTTTTAAGAAGCAATAAAACACAGAACCTGCAGTAGTGGTGGTTTGGAGCAGTTTAAGTTTTTCATGTCAGTCAATGAAATATTCCAATTTAGGAACTGCACCTTCCTTGAGTTGACTTACAACAACCTGTACAGCCGTGTCTATGTCAGCAAGACATTTTCTCATTTTTGTGGCCATTTTTCTGATGATGTCCCTGTTCTTAATCCCAGCTACAAAGCTCTGATTGGTCGACTGTTTCGTCAACTTGTGGCAACAGCTATCAATGAGCATGACATGAGATCGATTAGACATTGGAGATACAGGGGGTGATTAGGACATCTGTGACCAGGCAACAGGACAAGTTTGTGAATACAGTATATGAAGATGGCTCACATACTGTAGATTACACCATGTATAATTTTGAATGAAACAAACATCATCATGGTACAGCAGTATCATGTAGTTTTGCTTATGTAGTCTGTAGTATTTGAGACAGTTTGCAAAGAATACATGCAGAGAAACTGAGTGCGGGCCTCACCTCTTGGAGTTGAGGTGCTGGGGCTCTCTGTAGGGAACAGGCATTAGGGCCTTGTGTGAGCGGGGCAGTGGCGGAGGCGGGGGCCCCATGGGAGCCCAGCGCTGCGGGTTGGGGGTGCTGTGAAGCCCTGGAGGAATAGGTGGGCTGTCCCATCGCCACGTCGGACGAGGGGAGGGTCTGTAGCCTGCCGCCAAAGGCTCAGGTTCTGGCTTCTGCTCCATGGTTTTCATCTCATACTCCTCTGTGCAGCCCCTGAAGAGACAGAGGGTGAAAGACATCCAGCACGAAAAGTGAATCCAAAGCTTGACTGTGAAATGTTGTCACTCCCCTCCCAAACCCCTATTCTGTCTCCCCAGCTCAGCCTCCTCCCATAGTGTTTGATCCTCAGCTGTGGGTCAGTAAAAAGCAATGATTGAGAAGCAGCAGTCTCCTCTCTGAAGACCTAAACTGCAGCTGAACCAGAACTGCGGCCTCCGTACTGAGTTCAGCAAGTAAAAACTGCTCAATAAATTTCCTCAGAAAGACTCCACATTATGGTCCTCTCATAACACACTTTGTGGATGCTCAAACACACAGCAGACATGTAACCGAGCTCACTAATGAGCTCCCCTGACACTGATGGAGGGAGAGAGAGAGGAAAGGAAACTGATTATTGGCACATCAGGACTCCATCCTCCCTACTGTGAGACTGAGGTCAAGTATGTGTGTGTGTGTGTGTGTGTGTGTGTGTGTGCACGCTAAGTAATAGCCCTCTAATCTCATCAAAGAGATCCTCACTCAAGGTCTTAGTATATATAGTAGATTCGTATATATGTGCACAAGGTCTCGGTTACAATTAAAATTCTTGCTCAGCTCAGAGTTTCAAATAGTCAATCTGAAAAAAAAATGGACAAATATCCTTTTAGCTCCCTATCAGGATAAAAAACATCAAAAACATCATGAGAGGAAAACAGCCCTCAAATGACGATAAGCTGGCATTTATTCTCATCAATTATGAAATCACTGAGAGAGCTCCCAGCTGGAAGGGCGGTCATCTTTATTTATCAGCTCAGGACACAAACACAACACTCAACTAAAGATGTTCTTGTTCTTACAGTGTCCCCATGCCCAATATCTTCTACACATCATCATTATTTCATTCACAAAGTCTATTACAGGAGGGCAGGAGGCATCAAATATGCATAGATGATGTATTTAAGATGAGAAAAATGCCGAGAGGAGGAGGGGGAATGAGATGGGAGGAGGATGACAGTGGTGGTGGAAAAATGGTGTCGAAGTGAAGAGCTGAAGTGAGATGAAAGTGAAATTCACAGTGAGGTGAAACAAAGCAGGAGGGGGATAAAAAAAAAAGAACTTAAAGAGAACAAACACAGCAAAGATTGAAATAACTGAGGCGAGGCTCTGTTCAACAAAAATGTCAGAAAATAGTGTTTTTTCTTTTTTCTTAAACCCAAAGAGCAAATATTCATATTTTTGGTGTTTTGGCTTCAAAATGACTTAAACAATGAAAGCAAAGATAAATTGGTGTAAATTATTTTTAATGTAATTTTTCAATGCTGAGCAGCGTAAATGAAATTCCATTCACAAATATCTGAAAGCTCAAAATCAGGCTAAATAACACAAACTATCTGCATGGCCCTAATACTAGTAGACTTAAGTGAGGAAACATATTTTTGTAAATCGAGTGTACTGTCCCTTTAATGTTTAACCTAGATTAATCCAAGAGCCTGGTCACACACTTCCTCAATCTACAACAAGAATGTAAATACCAAAAATGTAGAGAGACGTAGAGCTGCCACATTTACTCAATTAACCAATTGTTCGGTCAACAGAAAATTAATCTGCAACTATTTTGATAATTGTCTTATTTTCATGTAAAACTGACAAACATTTGCTGGTTTAAGCTTCTTAAATGTGAATGTTTGATGCTTTTTTTTGGCATACATGATAGTAAACTAAACAACTTGGGGTTTTTTGATATGAAACAAAATGATTAATTTAATTATTTATTATTATAAAATTTTTATTTTTTAATTCATCTTTTACATGATCATTGTCAGTGATTCCATAGATTATTTTTTCAAGTTGAAGTTGTCATCTTCAAATATCTTGAACAAAAGTCCAAAATGCCCTAAAAGAAAAGCAGCATTTCTTTATGGGAGGCTAACGTCAGCAAATATTTAGCATTTTCTTCAGAATTTTTGCTTGAAGACTGAAACGATTAATCGAGAATCAAAATAGTTGCTGATTATCATTCTGTCGATTGATTAATCCACTAATCATTTCAGCTCCAGTTGCAGCCCTGGAGGGACGTAAACAGAACAAGGATACACACTTAAACACGCCCACACATCAACACATATGTCTTTAGAGAACACTATGAATGCTAGCAGATATCAAATGACTGGATTTTAACAAAAGTATGATAACGAGACACAATCACACTCTATTCAGGAACACTAATTAATGCACGTGAACACAACACGTGGTCAGGACATTTTGATCAACCAAAGAATACTACCAACTCTGTCGATATCCATACAGTTATAAATGGTAGTAGATGCTCTGATCACACACACACACACATGCACGCACGCACACACACACACACACACACGAGTACAAACCGTAGAGCGAGCAGAGCCTACATCTGTTGACATGCAGTGTTTCTTCCATCACAATGGCTCATGTGACACAACTAGAGCTCCCCAACACACACACACATACACACACACAGTCTCACATGGCCAAACACACCACTGACATCATAACTCTTCTCCACGGTATCCGTCCGTCTTGCATGTGCACGGCCGAGCGGGAACGGCAAGGAAAAACAGTCTCTCTCTTTCTCTTTCTTTCTCTCTTCCACCCACTTCTCTCACTCTCGGTGGTGTTGAGACACGTCGTCCTCACCGAGCTCTCAACTCAATACACTCAACCCTGCCTTTGTGTCTCTCTCTCTCCCTCTCTCTCTCTCTGTCTCTCTCCCTCCCTCTTTTCCATCCTTTTCATTCGCACAGGGCATGCATTTCTAATTAATCACCTCCACTCATTTATTTATTTATTTATTTATTTTTGTGGTCTCTTTTTTTTTTTCTTCTGCAGATTCCAGGCCTTAATCTCATGCAATCTGCTTGCCTGGCACACAACGGCAAACGAGTCAGAGAGAGGGAGAGGGGAAGAGTGAAATGCAAGACTCTAATTATCAGCTGCTCCAATGCCACAGTAGTGTTTGTGTGTGTGTGTGTGTGTGTGTGTGTGTGTGTGTGTGTGTGTGTGCGCGCGTGCGTGCATGTGTCAGAGGGATTTAACTTGGTGTAATTAAACTGCTTCCAACATTAAAGAAATCTAACCACTATGCGATCACACAGCCAGCCACAATTACTGTATTTAGGAGCCCTGGTTCTCAGTCAGAAACACACACACATTGTGGTTATTTCTTCACCTCTGTAACACCACATCAGAATCTCATAAGGCCTCGTTATTCTGTCTCAGTCAAGGCCTTATGTGTAGATGAAAGGTGGTAAAAGGGTGACGGCAGAGGAGAGAAATAGATTGCGGGAGGAGAGGAAACAAGATGAGATGACTAGATATGAAGCAGAGAAAGAAACAAAGAATAGCAGATTTTGTTAATTCATGTTAAACAAATGCTTCTTTCGTTTTTTTGTCTCTGTGCCTCATTTCGCCGGTTTCCTCTTGAACCACACTTCGTTCTTTCTCTCTGTTTGCTCGCTTCCTATTTTCACACACTCCCACACAAAATCCTCTCAGAACATTGGAGTCTGGCCACTATCTCACCCATGCTTTTGTGTGTTTGAGTGAAGAGCGTCCTGTACTCACTCCAACTCGCTCTTGTCCTTCCACCGCCATCACCACCCTGCTAACGCTCAGCTGCCTCCTATGCTGTCAGCCACTGCCTCAACATCTGCATCTGACTCACGCTCATTAGCTTAGCTTCAAAGAAATATAATATTAGACTTTCACGCACCTGCGAGGCCCCCCCTCTTCGTATGGAGGGATGATGACCACTTTGACCGTGACTGACGTCCTCAGCAGGTCGATCATCTGTTCGTGAGTCAGCGTCACGGCGGCCACCTTGCAGATCTCCACCAACCTACTGCCCTGCCTCAGTCCCGCCTGCCAGGCGAAGCCGTATTCCTCCACCTGCACGAGAAAACCGCAAACAAAGTCTTCAAACAAGCCAGTTATGTACAGCCAAGATTCTTCACAAATGAGTATGAGATCTGGTGTGGCAGATGGTGATCTGACGATACCTCAGCCACTGTGCCGTCCAGGCGAACATGGAAGCCCAGTTGTCCCAGTCCGTTTCTTCTCAGAGTCATATCCACCGTCTCACATCCAATTGTCAACGACTGGCCGAAAGAGGAAAAAATGTATTAGACTTACACCATAAATGTCTTATATCTGTAATAAAAATTGTACTAGGTAACAAACAAACAAAGGAAACACTATAACACAGCCTGAAAGAGGAAATGATTAATCAATATACGCAGTAAGAGTCAACATCACCTGAAACTATATCAACCAGCAACTGTGAACTTTATCAGTCTCAAAATCTGCACGTATTTGGTACTTTCATAGAGATTAACTAATTTTTTTAATATTTTGTTTACTGTTGGATTAACACAAAGCTCACTGGAGTCCAGGAAATCTCCTTTTCCCAGCATTTAATTCATCAAAATTTTCAGGGATTATCACAATATGAAATGCTGTTCATCCGCCAGTGCATGCAGTTGCTCAGCTTCATCGAAAAGTGAGTCCGATGCTTACATAGAGTACATACATCCTATATAATATAAAGCGTAAAAGCATCTAATTTGACTGGGATATAGTTTTGAAGATTATTAGGTTATAACTATAACTAACAAAAAGCGTCCCCTTCTTCATGTAATTGTCAGTTTCTACTGTTGTGTTAATGTTTTTCCCTGATTGTCAAATCAACAAAGGTGTGAGTAAGTCACATGTGTAAGTCACAAGCAAGTCTCAAGTCTTAACCTTCAAGCGCCAAGTAATTTCCAAGATACTGTGGTGGGAATCAAGCAAGTGAAGTTGAGTCCCTGCAGTAAGTCAAGCAAGATAAGTCACAAGTCAGGTTATATAAAATTGTGATGATCAACCCCAGTTTCCACATATAAAATCAGTTAAAAACAGTGGTCATGAAATGTCTAGTTTTACTTTCAACATTCACTGTTGCAGCTGCTTCCTTATGAATCTTTCTGATATTTGACATTTTGTGGCAATGCAGAGTCTGGATCTGTGACTGCAGCAGCGTACTGCTACAATTATTATTTTGGGTCTTATTATTATTACTACCTTCGCCAAGGATCTCATGTTTTCACTCTGTATGTTTATCTGTCAGCAAAAAGTAAAGAATGGATTTGCACCAAACTTGGTGGGGGGACGGGGCATAGGCCAGGGAAGAACCCATTACATTTTGGTGGGAATCTGGTTAAAGGCGTGGATCTAGGAATTTTTTTAATTACTTTCCTGAATATGTGGAATTGCTGGTCGTCGGCGGAGATGCGCGCTCTACTGAGTGCCATGCTAGTTAATACTATTACAATATATCTATCTCTATGTGAAACTTGCATTGTGATATGTTCTCTTTCCACTTGCAATCCACATTTTAGTATTACTTGGCCCTGCCCAATGAGAGCTGGTTTGCAGGCACTGCACTAGAAATCACCCAATCAAGCTTCAAAAACAGAATGTAACTCATCTAAAAAAAATATCTAGAAAAATACAAATATTTAATTAAAAAAAAAGAGTCAAGTCTTTTTGAGTCATTTGTCTCAAGTCAAAGTCAAGTTGAGTCTTTTATCAGATAACCAAGTCTCAAGTCCTGAAATTTGTGTCGTAAGTCCGACTTGACTCAGGTCACGTGACTCAAGTCCCACAACACTGATCAGTCTTTGAATCTAAAGCTTTTTCAAGCTGAGAGAATGAGAAACAAAAAACACTGTGGAAATCCTCTGAGCTCAACACTTCAAAGCAGATGTACCAGATGTTTACAGTCTTGAAACCAAAACAATTCAAGATAAAACTAATAATCCCATATTAACAAGATCACAGTGACCTGATAAAGTATCACTGAGGCTGTAGTGATCTGAAGACAAACGTTTGAGCTGTGGTGATAAAATGTGAGTCACGATCTCATACTCTTAAAAGGTTCTCTGTGGAGCTTTTGACCACAGCTCTATAGGGCAATGTTTTTACAAGTGGATGGGCACCCACTTTGTTTCTACTGCGTACACTGACAAATAGACATGTGAGTGTGCACAGTTTCGTGTTAATCCACTGACGGTCAGTGGCAGTAGCAACAAAACAATGCACAAACAAAGGTGGTGAAGGAAAAAACTGCAAACTAGTAAACAAGAATATAAACAATGCAGGAAAACACTGCAAAGCTGATTAAAAAAAAAAAAAAAATAGATTATGAGGAAGAAAATGCACTCAACACGTTTGTCAGGCCTCGAGGACAGAAACAATGTGTTTTGGTGAGTAACACTGAATGTAAACATAACTGTTTGTTTACAGGAAAACTGCACAGGGCATCTTTAAGCTCTAGACATAGTACTTCTCTCTATGTTCCCACATACAACACAAGCTACGCCCAAACAGTCACTTGAAGTGGATCAAGCTCTGAACTCTCACCTTTAACCTCTGCACCACTTCCCTGATGTCCTGCGCACAGCCCTCTGGTACCCGCACAGCGATGTGGTCTCCTCTACCGTAGAAGATCTTCAGTGCCAGACGCTCCGGTGTCCAGCCGATCACGTCCGCACAGAAACAGTTAAACACCACCTCTTTGGTGGAACAGTCTATCAAGAGGACATACTCGGCCGACAAACCCAAGGCACAGGGGAGCTCCGTCCCGCCTCCGCTAAAGTCCTGGGCCTGGACCCTCCAGGCGACGGCCCCGGTAGCTCCCAGCTCCGCTCCCTCTCTCGCCTTGGAACGCTCACGTTTTTTGGATGCGAGGGAGATGAGGTTGTTAAGCTTGCCGGCTGAGTCGAGCGGTGTGCTGCTGACGTAGTTCTCTGCCAGGTCACGCAGGTACTCCTGCCGCGTTCGTGTGGCCATGGTGTGGAACTTCTCTGACTTGTGCGCTGCATTTTCTGCATTGATAACTTTGGCTAGAAGGAAGTTACGAAAGGTTTCTGGGTCACGGAAGGTGACACCACTGGGAATGGGTGGGCCAAAGGGGGGCACATCCTTCATCCTTGTGACAGCGACACTGAAAGAAAAGGGGAGACAGAGAGGATTTATAGCGTGACACTATGATTTTAATCATATGAACATGCGCTTGTTCTGTTCTAATCATTTACCTGTAACATGTGTTTTCAGAGCAGGGGTTGTGGACACGCACAATAACGAAGACGTGCTGGAAGTGTGAACGGATATTCTGAGGGGTGAAAGGCAACGCTCCCGGCTCCTGAAAGATTATGGTGACAATGTCGTTCCCTATGTGCCTCTTCCTTAGGAGCTGGGCGGGGGGGGGGCAAGCAAAACAAGAAACAAATAGATAAAATGAGCAAACATAATTGGCACTGACACGACTGACTCTGTAAACACTAGAAAGTCTGACAAGGGAAACAAGAGATTGAGACGCTCACTACTAAACACCAAACAACAGCTCTTTATGTAATTTGTTTTCTCGGATCCTGTGTGGGCTATTTGTGTCCGTGTGTGCTGGTTTGTCTGTCTATCTGTGTTCGTGTAGGAGACATGGTGCACAGTCCAGGCTGTGTCTGTGGCGCAGTGCTTGCCAAACCTCTCTTCATCTGCAGAGAGAAGTGTGAAAGTACCAATTATGTAATCCAGCCCACTGTTGGGCCACAGATACACAGATTCTCCAGCATGGTGCCACGGGAGCATCCTTCACTCGTACTCAAGGCTGCAGATTGGACGAATCTGATCATTGTGCTTGATGGAGTGTGTACAAACATTAGCTATAATTGTTAGAACTGATCACTTTGACGAAAGAAGTTTGGTTTATTTCACATTATATCATCACATTGACTATTTTCTATTTTAGTATTGATTCCAAACATTGCTGATATGCAAACTCAACAGTTATTTACTGTGAAAAATAAATGTTTTATCATTGGTCATATGATTTATTATGCAGACCTGGCTGGCATACTATCTATCTCTACTTCATCCCTGATGCCTCCCTTCATCCTCTGCAGGTTACTTTTAATGTCAGATGCTGCCACCTAGAGGTTCATCTGAGGTTCAGTCTTTGCTGCTGCCGGCTCTAAACCTCTGGATGGAGTTATTGTGCTATTTATAAAGTAACACTTTACAGTTTAAGAGTTGATACTGGTATTAACTGTGCAAAGACACTTTTAATCTGAGTAATTAAAAGCTGCAAACCCTTGTTTTTTTTTGATTACTCACCTTTTACAGGATGTTTAACAAGATGATGTAACTGTTTATTTACAATAACAAACAGCACACTTCAATAATAATTATACAATTACACAATAAAAGCACAGTTCTCCAGTTTACAAGACTAATTTATGATATTTGAAAGTGTTTGAGGAAGAACAAGTGACTTCTCCTTAGCTTACACTGTTCTGCGGCGATAAGCTGACACATTACAAAGTGTGTGCACTGATGGTCAGCACCCACAGGGCCCGTCTGAGCACATGTGTTCACCCGTGTGAGCTTCTCACGCAAAACACTTATGCAAACTATAAAAAAATACCCACACACAAAATGTTATCTTACACACAGGTCACTCACAGGTGGCCCACGCTGCAAACACACAGCGCCCAGGAGAATGTGTAGGAAGGCCGAAGTAAAAAAGAGGGAGAAAATAAAGAAACTACTCACTACTGAACCCCACCCTGCTCAGCTCCAGTTAAAGAACGAGAGGCAGAGAGAGGGCAAGAGGAAAAGCCAGTGAGTCGGAGAGGAGAGAGAAGCCAAGACACAGAGAACAAAGACTATAAAAAACACGAGAGGCTGAATAAAAAAGGAAAGAGACTCTAAATGAAGAAGGCGACATAAGTCACGAGTTTCCACTTCATGAATTCTTGCTGTGGTTTACGACCTGGAGCAAACGGCAGAGGCTTTAACTAACAACCACAGACAGACTTGGAAAGGCTTCGGGTGACAAAACATAGTCATGGATGCATTTTTTCAGCTGTACAAACCCATGTTTGACCTGCAACCTAGCATACAACCCCAGGTGATATTTAGACGGGGGTGCTCATGAGCTCTTACCTGCTGTGGGTTGCTGGGCATGTACGGCAGCATGGTGGACACGTGGAACATGACTTCGTAGCCCTGGTAGGTGGTGTACAGGGAGTGGGTGCCCGTGGAGTCCGCTGGAGAAAGCAGGAGGAGAAAGATATTATAGTTTCACGTCAACTACAGACACACACAGATACAGGGGATCATGAGGACTCACAGACTGTCACTGTGCTTTTCCTTGGGTTATGACACATGGCATGTCTTTTTTTCAGACATGACAGAACTGTTACAGAATGAGCCAAAAAGGTCCCGCTGCTGGAGAAAAGCGGTGGTTTGAAAAGTTACGATATGAAGGAAAAAAAAAGGAGTTTTTTGTTTTGTATGCATCAGCGCTTAAGACTCAATTAATTATGATTATGAAGGCAAGGTATTTTCCCCGCAGCTATATTCTAGTGAATATCCTAATAGATATTCATAATTTTCCTCACTGAACATAAGGAAGGAGTCCTATAAGAATTTACTCCTCTACTAATAGTTTTTAATTCCTCTTTTGCTGCACTGTGAGGGGAAAAAATAATTTTCATAAACTAATCTGGCGTGAGAAGAATCTCATTGACAACATAAAATTGCTTATTCACATATTCACGCATTTCATAGTTTATTTAACTGATTTTATTGCTGCAAGTACAGGAGAGGATAGTTTAGTGATATATCTATTGCAGTGGTCTTGCGATGGCCTGGAATCACTCAATTTGGACGTATGTGTTGTTGAAAGTGTCAGGAAAATGTTGGCAGGTCTACCGCCATGACTTTCACCAACATGTGAACCTGCCATCACGTTTACAGAAGGTGGTACGTTAAACTGAAAGAGGCTCTTACTCTTTGTGTCGAGCTGTGCGGCGTATTTGGTGAATCCTTTGAGCAGCACCTGCTCCCCCAGCAGCTCCAGGAATGCAGAGAAGGCGGGTGACGCCTCCTCGTTGTTGTACATCTCCTCCTCTGTGCTCTGGCCTGCGCGGCACAGCAGAACACCCACCTTGTGCTTCTGACTTAACTACGAGGCAGAGGAGAGATAACATTAACATTACAAACACACTCAGCGAACGCAAACGCCACATTCAAACACGGATGAAACGCTGCAGTTCGATGCCGGTGCTTCTGTCGAAACCTAATGTCAAGGGGGATGTTACGGTACGGTGCAGCTCAACTTTCATTGTTGTATAAACCTGCACAAACAAACAAGAAGCCTACTGCAGGAGAAAACACCTCCGCATTGCACTTCACCCTCCATTAAATAAAAGGTGAGATAACATGGCTAAACTCTAAAGCTTTTATGGTTGCACACTCATGCTCAAACACACCACACCCTGCTCACACAGCTTTCACTGCCCTCAGCCCAATTTTGTACTTTGCATCAACAGTAAATCAGTTATACAGGTTCTGGACACTTTTATACACACTATCTGTACCATGTGTGACTATATCGCTTTATCAGTTCATACTCTTTGCTTTGCAGTTTGTTAGTCAGCCTGACTGCTACTGGCTGAATGAGCAGGTACACTTTCTGTGTTTAGGAGGTATCGCCGCTGCCGGGATCAACCGTCCAATTTCTGCTTTTAATCGCACAAGCCTGAAAATAAAATGGAAATACAGTCACAGACACGTAACTCACCCCCTGTTCATCCAGTTTAAGGAGCTGCTCTGTGACTTTGGGTGTGCCAAGTGCCAGTCTCAAACAGGACACGTTGAGCTCGGGGACGACCTGCTCCAGGACCTCTTTGAGCGGCAGACCCCGTACCGTGCCGTGTCTCCCCGTAGACGCCACCGCATCCTCCAAAATGCAGCCTCGCAGGGTCACCAACTGTATGTAGGGAAAGAACAGGAGCTGTAAAACTGGAAGCATCTCCCGGTCTTGCACACACATCATGTTTAAGATCTACATGTATACAGCTGTATGTAAAAGCATTATTGGCATTAACATAGTCTTCCTTCACAGAGGAGCGGGGCTCAGCCTCAGGAACAGTGCGACACTTCTGGAAATATGACAGTGAATGATTAGATAGTCTCACTTCTCATAACAGTGGCCTGCTGCCCTGAAGCTACACTTTTTCCTCTTTGTCACACACACATCTAGTGAATGTGCTGTGTGTGGAGGGTTTTTAAGTCCGGCAGTATTGTGAATTAATATTCCACTCAGTATTGTGCTGTCACACTGTGCTGCTCCCTGGTGAGGGGAAATTGACCTGCTTCAAAACAGTGAGACTATAATAACCTCAGATACAGTTGGGAGGAAAAGGCTGCTCCTTCTCACCCGACACACACACACACACACACACACACACACACCGATATGTGGGTTCATTAACAATGCATGGCAGACTCTGGAGCTGGCAGAGGCCGGAGAGACAGTTGAACCTCAGAGACTCGGGTCTGCCGCAGAGAAAGGAAACCTGTGTCACACAGCTGAAGTTATGGAGCTACCGTTTCAACTCGTCAGCTTCTGCGCACCAGCGGAGTGAGCGACGTGCTGAGTGCGAGTGAATGAACGTGTGACAAAGGGAGAGAGAAAGGGGAGAAAGAGGAAAAGTCTCTCCACCTTGCTGTGTCAGCACTGCTGCACAGAATGAAATGACAGACTTCTGGGGGTTGGATATTTGAGAGAGGCTGCGGCTTGAGTGGGAAAGAATAAAGTCTGCAATCAATCTCTTTTTACTGTGTGGGAACAGTAGGCCTGGGTGTACTGGCTGTGTCTGTTGGCTGAGCTCTGTGTACTTAGATGTCGGAGAGGTTCCATTGTTGTACCAGAGCTAAGGTGATGAGGCCAGGCAACCATGTAATCCAGCTAAAAACAACACCGCAACAGACGCACAGAGGAACACACTCAGACGAAGACTACATGAACACAATGAGCAAAAGCAAACTCTTTTGTCTGAGTGACCATGACAATGCCAGACAGATGTTTAGAAAATACATTAAACTAACTATTCGTAAAGAGGTGAGACCACGATGTCGTCAATTTTTAAATATCCAACACAAGAGGAAAACTGAAGACTAACACAATTAGAGATTAAATAATTTGTAATTTGAAAGAAAATTAATCTGCAAACAATTTTGATAATCAATTATTTGTTCTTTAGGGACTCCTCGGTTCCGGCGTCTCAAATGTGAATATCTGCCTGTTTTCATATTCAAGTGAATATCTATCTCTATCTATCTCTCTCACAGCTGGTCAAAAAAAGTAGCAATATAAAGGCATCACAGGACCGTTTTCTTTTTTTCCATATTAAAGTTCTCAAAAGACATATAGGATTGTCAACAACACCATACACGGCCTCTATGAATACTTAAAGCTAATGCTATATTTGCTAATTTGCTGCTGCAAATAGTAGGAAGTTTGGTTTTATTGCAGAAACCATTTCACAAAGAGAACTCAGTGATAAATGCACTTGTAATTTTGACTTCTGCTCTATTTAAACATAATATGTGGCTTTGTGTTGGACTTTGCTGTTATTGAATGTCCAATTGTATAAATCCTCATGTATTTTAACTCTTTCTTGTGCATCTTAAGTTTTTTATTCTTTGTATTCCATGTGTACTTTGTTTCACTGCCTTGAGGGACAAATAAAGTGTCGAATTGAATTTTTCTGTTTTCTGACATTTTATAGACATCGATAAAAAAGAAATCTATAAATCAATTAATAATGAAAAGAAGTGTTTGTTGCAGCCTTAAACAAAATAATTCTAACATTGTGTCTGTGATCAAGCGATGAACTCACTGACATGGCCATGAGAAAAAGTTGAAAACTAAGTTTGGTGAAAACCTCTGATGGTAAAGGACCAGACTGTAGTTGAGTCTTTGAACAAATTTGAGGCAGACTGTAGAGAATCTTAACTAATTCTCCATAGTTATCAGCCCATCATTTAATACATTACGAGTATTTGATGCATCAGAGTTGAAGTGGTTGGGTGTGCTCCCACTGAGAGTAAGCCAAATGCTTTGGGCAGAGCCGCCAGTGTTTGGTTTGGCTTTAATGCGTTGAGACTGGGCAGGTGGAATTTTCCACTGGCGGAGAATAGAGAGGGGGGGGGGGGTTATAATCAGAGCAAAGAGGGCGAGGAGAGTCACAGGTAGGGACACAAAGGGAGGGGCCGGGTGAAATGAAAGTAGGTAAGGAATTAACTTGAGCGTGCGCATTCTGACTCATCACTGTCTCATCACTCAGAAATCCCCGTGACCAACGCACACAAACGGCACATTTGTGTGTGTTTGTGCATACCTCGCTTGTTCTGACGATCAGGCGGTACTGGTACTGGTCTTTCAGGTCTTTGGTGTCGTCCAGTTTCTCCCTGCGGATGCTCACGGCCACAGGACCCATCTTATCATCCGTCCCAAAGTAGTTCGAGTGTTCTGGTGAGGGACAGGGAGAGGTAGAAAACAAGGTCAGAGTTTGTGCTGTGGACATAATGTGCATTCATTCATTTGTGTCTGAGCACGGGCTTGTGTTACATCTATGGTAGGTTACATCATGACATTTTTTTGGATACTAGTGCTGATAGGATTATGTTTGAGCTTCTAAAATGTTACTATTCACTGGTTTTCTCAGTCTTCTTTAATAGGTCAAATGAATGTTTTGGGGTTTTGAAGCGCCAGTCGAACAAAACAAGACATTTAAATATGACAACTTGGGCTCTAATAAATTGTGAGGGGCATTTTCTCTTTTATAGACTAACATTTTGTAGACTTAACAATTAATCAAGAAATTCAAAATAATACATTTGTAACAATTATATCAATTATGAAAATCCTTGTTAGTCGCAGCCCCAGTCATTTCTTCAACCAAAAGGCCAAAACTTCACTCCAGCTTCTCAAATCTGAATATTTACTTATTCAAGTAGTGAACTAATTATTGTTAGATTTTGGACTACTGGTTGTCAACTCTGGCTTTGATAAGCTATGATGGCCATTAAAAGAAATACATTCTGACATTGTATAGACCAAATCCTGAAAATAATTGTTAGCTGCAGCCCTAATATTTTTTGATACTATAACTTTACTTTTCTCCAAAAACCTAACAAAAGAAGCCAATCTTAAAATTTGCATCATGGTACTTAAACACAGGCAGCTGTACAAAAACTCAACTAAATAAGATCCATTGTTAAATATTATGATTCATAACAGTCAAATATATCTATCCAGAAACACACATATCTATCCAGCCATTCAAGGGGGGTTTGAAGAAAAGATACTGTAGTAGTCCATGTGTAGTGAGTCGGACTGACAGAGGAGGGGCATTAAGTCAAGGACAGGACTAGGACAATGACATGTTATCTAGTAATCAATACTCAGTTAATTACAAAATCAATTCAGCTAACACACCAAGAATAAACCAGAGAAAATGATAACTGCTACTAAAGAAAAGTGAGGGTCAGAGATGCTGGACATTTTTCTGATATGTAGGAGCTTCTTGATTGATAATTGGACTTTGTAAATCCAGGAAATGAACAAAATGTTGTGTCATAAGTCGCCACTTAACATTTCCTGTGGCTTATTAGCAGTGTTAGCATAAAACAACATATTCATCCATTAAGAGGCTGAGGCAACCTTATCAACACACTTCACAAGCATCTTGCATGTCCTCTTCTAAAGCTCCTAAGCTAAGCCGCGCTAATGCCAACGCCATAGGCTGTGTGGGAGTCGAAACACAAATTCTCCAGACACTCGGGGAGGAATCTAGCTTGACAAGTATTCCTCCTCTATAACCCCACTGACTGGAATGAACCGGGACGACGTACACGTTAAGAGAGTCAGGCCTGCTTTGCTTCCGTGCCATGTCCCGTGGCGGAAATGTCAGCCTTTTGATGAGGCTTTTCTGACGTGCACACAGGGCACGTCACAGCAAACACACACACACAATCACAGTAGCGTTCAGCTGGAAACGAGTCAGCAGATGAGCATATTTTTGGAAAGATAACCTTTATCTGTGTGGCTGCAGGCCTGTCTCTCACACACATACACATGCTTGCTTGCACACATGTGCTTCTAACAGCATCTGTCACTAATTAGGGTGCAGCCAGATGATGCTTGCCAACGGGAAGTTTCATCCAGTGTCTGAAGAGGTGATGCTGACAAGAAATGCCCACATAAGGACACACACACACACACACACACACACACACACACACACACACACACACACACTCTCTCTTCGTCTCTGAAGTTAGGTGTTACTTCTGACACTGAAAACCAGATGTAAAACAAAGCTGCACCGGCTGACTGTGTTAACTGGTACTTGTGATCATGCAGGTGATGTATCATCAGCTCAGGGTTCGCCAACAGTCCGGTGGCAGGTACATGTGTAATAAAAACTCTGGGAGCGTTGCCAGTTTGGCCCAGCTTGATATTAACAGCCTCAGGATGAGATGTGTGGAACGACACTGGAGAGATTCTGGCCGGATAAACGACATCTACGCTGTCTGATTTACACAATGATACCGACAAGGAGCTCAAATCAGAGTACAAAACAGGATCAGTAAGTCAATAACGAGGCGTTGCAACTATCTATTATGGTTTAATACCAGTAAGTGCAGAATTGTTTGCATATGTTGGATATCTTTGGTTATTTTAATCGATGAATCCATCAATAATTTAATAAGCAGCGCAATTCATCAGAACCTAAAGTGACAGATTCAGATGCTTGTTTTGTTTCACTTTATGATGATATAAAAAAAGCTAACATTTGAGAAGCTGGAATCAGATTGTTGCTACTGCTTGAAAGTTAGAGTAGTCAAACAGTTTGTTATTGATTAATTGTTTACGTCATGCATCAATCTTTCGGGGTTTGTTGCTTGTTGGACATATCAAACAATATAAAGATGTCACCCTGGAACCATTTTTGATTATGGAATAAACAATTATTCAGTCCTGCCCAGAAGTACTGATAATGAAAGCAATCATCTCCTGCAGCCAAATTTTAATCGATTATAAAAGTTGTTGTCGGTTTCCCTGAGAGCGAGTGAATGATAAATCATGAATGTGTTTCTGTGTGTGTACGTGTCTGTGTGTGAGACTCAGTATTACCTTTCCCATGGAAGTAGTCTCTGTAGTATTTGGCCCCCTGGTCTACATGTTCTATACTGTACAGTTTCAGTCTCTCCAGTCTCGTAACCTGCTGTTCAATAGGCACCTCCAGCACTGAGACGCTGGCGTTACTCCTCCTCACCCATGCCCTTCCAGCCTCTCCTCCTCCGTCTCCTCCTCGCTCTGCTGACGAGCTGAGGAAGCTGATGTTGCGCTCCCCGTGGCCGCCCGTCTCATTGAGGAAGTGGGGGCAGCAGAGGAGCAGGGGGCTTGAGTTGTGGGCTCCAGGAGGCCCGTCCAGAGGGTCCATGTTCAGAGAGGGTGCTGTGGAGCCAGGGTCGAGGCTCAGCGTCAGGTCCTCAATGCTGGAGTAAACTGGGTCGTTCACACTAGAAGCACAGGACCTGGAGACGGACAGGGACACTGAAGCAGCTGATGCCCCCGTGGCGGTGTTCCTCCTCTGCGTGACGTATCCACGCTGTGCTGCAGCCTCATGGAGGTCAAACAGGATGCTCTGAGCGTCAAAGTGGACAAAACTCTTGGGGCACACCCACGCTTTGTAGGAGGCGTCCGTTGAACCTCGCCCTCCGTCATCATTAGTCTCTCCTTTTCCTCCATCCAGCTCCCCTCTGCTGGAGCTCCGAAGTTTCCTGAACAAAGAAGAGGTGCCCAGTGACGACTCTGTCCCTCCACTTTTCTTCCTCACTCTCTCACTTCCTTCCTTCCTTCCCGTCCCTCTGTCATCCCCACCTGTGGGACCAGGTGAGGGAGCGGAGGGAAGAGGTGCGCTCGGTGGCGAGTCTGGAGCACGCAGCAGCTCCCTGAGGCGTATGGGTGCTGAGCTGCGCTGGTCAGGCCTCTCCTGGTGGAACTGGCTGAGCATGTCGAAGAAGCTCTGCTCAGGAATGCCCTGGATATCGATGGAGGACGTGCTGCCGTACTCTCTGAACAGGTTCCCCATCCCGCCACCTCCACGAACCTCCACCTTGGAGCGGAAAGGAGAGAGAATTTTCGGACATGTTAAAGTTAGGTATTTTTCACATGAGGTGGTTCATTTCAAACAAATGTTCGGCTTATTTGAGCTGATGTGAAAGCTGTCAATCAGACTGTGGTATGGTCCGAACAACCAAGCTGAGCAGCCCGAAAAGGTGGGCTTTAAAACTACCAATGTTGTGGTTCATTTCTCATGTGAAAACAAAACGTACCAGCAACAGGATTTTAGCATGAATTCAAAAGCTAAACTACTGTTGAATCCATCCTCAGACCGTGAACTATCAAAGTGGGGATCTGTATAAGCAGTGTAAATAATTATGCAAGATCATCTAGTAACCATGGTAACACATATGTGCATCACCACATTTTCCTTAATACATTAAAACAGAGGTGAGATGTGTATTTTGGCAGTCGCTCATTAAAACCTGAATGAAACTCAGCGACCACACAGTAACTATGTACCTGATAACATTAGGAGAAAAATAACATTATTTTTCGTCATGATTTATGATATATGAGGTGAAATTGCAGTTTTTTTGGTGAGCTCTTTGTGACAACATTAATATATACATAATGCACGGTAAAGTGCTGCATGACTCGCTGTCAGCCACCTGGATTTGATTTTCCTCTGTGGGCCTATGAAGCACTGATGAACGTTTTAAAAAGTCCAATCAAGTTCTGTACTCCTCCTGTAATAAGTCAGCCATTTTGCTTTTTTCAGAGGTGTGAGAGACCTCGGAGGAAGATTTAAGGCTCACCTCGTTCTCATCCTGTTCGCTGAGCGTCACTTCACTGTTGGAGCGCTGTCTTAACGGTGGGAAGACTCTTAGGCTCAAAGGTGAACTTCTTTCACCTCCAAACCCTCCTACTCTGAACTCTACATCCTTTGACCGTCGTCGTGGCAACCTGGCAACTCCTCCCCGCACCAAGCCGATGTCAGATGACAAAGCTGATGATGAAACTGAAGTGGAACAGTCATCTCCGTAGTGATTGCTGCCAATTTGCCCATTTTCAAGCAGCGACTCCCGGGACTGTGCACGACGCGGAGGCCACTCTGCAATCCGTGCTCGAACACCCATTTTGGGCACGGACATGCGTGGTTGGATGGCCGGGTCTGTGGGGCCAGGGGCCGGGTGGCCATTGGGGGTGTGACGAAATGGGGTCTGCTGGGGCAACCCTCCTCCTCCTCCTCCATCCAGAAGGTCCGAGGAGGTGCAAGTGACCCCTCTGTCTCTGTAGCTGTTCATGGCTCCCGAGGAGAGCTCAGGGCTGGGGAGCAGGGGGCTGGCATCCCATGTCAGGAGGGGTGCTCGAGAAGAGGGAGAGGAGGGGCCCCACAAACACTCTGCTGACAGTGCTACGGCCTCCAGCTCCCAAAAACATTGCTTTTAACTGGCAGGGTGGGAGAGACTTCACTGGTCCATGAAGGACCAGTTTGAGCCAGGACCGGTCCTCTTTTTCTTCTTGGATTATTTTCAGTCTGAAAAAAGGAAAAAAAAAAAAGGGAAAAACATTCAGTCCAACAAATCAGCTTTAGACAATCTGCACAAAACATCTAAAACCAAAACAAATAAGATTTGAAATACTGGAACATTTTTAAATTACAGAGCTTGAGTCCCAAATTCTCTCCACAGACCCAAAGAAAAACTGAGCTCTGAATTCAGAGAAGAGCAAGTCACTCAACTGTAAAACAATGTAAGACTGATAAACCAGAGAGAGGGAGCCAGCGAGAGAGTGAGCCACAGAGAGAGAGAGAGAGAGAGAGCGAAAAAATAAGGTGAAGGGATATGACAGAGGATTTCTCCCGTTGAGGCTAATCTTCAGGAGGCTGACAAGGGATATTATTATCACACACTGTGCATTCGAGTGCGCGCGCGTGCACACACAAATACTCATATACCCACAGGACATGAAGGCTGTGGCCGTTCTGCTGCAGATTAAAACCACTGAAACACTTCAGAATATTATCTGGTTAGAAAAGTAATACAGATCCAAACAGAGGGAGTACACAGACAATTCAAACACTTCAGCTCCGGCACATATTCACTGCTCATGTCTTGTCTCTCCTTTGGAAGAAACCCGCAGTGATGATATAGCTCATGTCTGTTTGAGTCAGTTCGTGACTAATATTGACGTCATGCCGACACTGACCCCCACACGGCTGAGACACAGAAGCTACTCTCCTCTACACAATGGATCCAAACAACAAACAACTACAACTTTGTGGAGTTAATAGTCTTTTGAGACGGAGAGATGAATAGGAACTTCAGGAGAGACAGAAAAGGGCGAGCTCACTAAGTGACCCAACAGCTGGAGGGGTGGAGGTGGGGTAAAGCCAGAAATAGAGTGATTGGAAAGAATCAAGAAAGAGCAAGGAGGAGAGCAGTACATTGCTCAGTGAACCACAGTGGCGTACTTTAATATGACAGCCACACAGCATCAAGTCTCAAAATCCACTGGCCTTGTAAAGACTTGTTTATTCAGGAGCATCTCAGGTCTCTGCTGAGGTTTAAAGTGATGATTTTTACAGGCTTTAAAGTCTTATTTGATGAGTGCACGGGTACAGGAATACTGTCAGATCATGTTGGTTTTAGCGTCACACTCTACCTTAATGTTTACTTCACGTTTGGTGATTTAAAAAGTTAAAGTTATGCTAGTTTTGCACTCATTGTGAAGCCCCTGAATCTTTGCACTCTGTCCTGGAAAAAAGGTTCAAGTCATGGTCACAGTTTTTGATTTTAAATGCTGTGGTTGTTTGGAGTAACTAGCTGGGAATTTTCATTCTGGAGTGGTTATGACTCCACAGCCAACAAATGACAATACACTGACACAGCGGTCTGTATTCAAACGAGTGAAGCAGGAGCCATTGGGCAATCTCGGCAGCCACGTACAGACAACACACAGCATTTTGTATATTCTAATGTAAGTGTTTGGGTCCCGTTTTTAGTGGACCTTTTCAGTACTACATAGACCACAATTTAATATCTGTTTCACTGTCATACTGGCCAAGAATAAAAGTAAGGTGGGGAACCAGTGCAGATAAAATTGATCTTAAATTATTTATTATGTATATTACATTCCAGCAGTATATGATAATTTTTTGTGATATAATTAATTAAATGAAATGCAACCTAGATAAGTGGCAGAAACCAATTAAGAACGATTAAAACATTTAAGTTTTTGCTAAAACCAAGAACATGTCTACTGCTGCTGTTGTGGCTAGTATTAGTGACAGTGTTTGTTACAGGTCTGATGGCGCAGACTGAAGCTCCTCAAAAAAAAGCAACCTCGAGTGTAAACATGTATAATGTCTTCAAGCAGCCTGCAAAACGGATACAAAAACATTTAATAACCAACATTACAGCACATGGCAGGCAGGAGAAAATATTTCAGACTTTTTAATGCCATCTAGTCTTTTTTAAGATACCCCAATTACACAACCAAACTGCAATGTGGAAAACATGATAATAATAACAGCGTGTGGTAGGGCTTGGATATTCTGAGTGGGAGCTTCAGCAAAATGTCTAAGATATAAATGTGCGCGGTCCATCCATCTGTGCTGTAGTCACACTGCTAGTGTTTCTAGTGCTACTCTTCCTTTCTTCTGAATTTCCCTTTTCCATTTGTGAGTTTCCATCTAATCTCATTCTCTATTTAGGACTGCGCTTTTGGATTAAAGTTCCTTTATCTACATAAGTCTCTCCTCAAACTGCCAAAGTCATTCACATATCTACACTTAATTTGCTCAGAGGGCAAACGTACATAATCTGCATATATACAATATATGCCTTTTAAAATGTGCTCTTGTTAAGATCCAGGCTTCCGGGATTATGTTTTTCCTATACCTAACCATGCCATTCCACATTATACAACTGTTATGAAATCCCAAGGTTTCTGAATCTATTTAGATTGTATTATGCATGATACAATTCAACCATAACCTTTCATTAAACACTGCTTATTCAAGCAGTCTCCTCGTCAGGACGTTTAGCTTTTATTCAGACACATATTGACCTTTAAGAATTTCACAACAGTAAAACTCGTTTCCATGATGAATCAGACAGAAGTGTCAACATTTTCACTCCTCAGACAAAAGCTTTAAGGAATGATATCATACGATTCAACCACAAGCAGAAAAAAAACACACACACTTGGACACACACAATGTTTAACTGCACTCACATTTAACCACATTAAAATGTATGCACTTTCATGATACTGCAGTTACACACTGTGGTTTAAAAACTGGAGGACGCTACAGTGGCATGAAAAGAGGAGCTCAACGTTTGACTCTTTCCAGTAAGTTTAACAGCCTGCAGAAAGCGTACATTAGGAGCAATTTTGTTGTGAAAACAAATCTGTGCCTGCTTCTCTCCAGCTGCCTCAGTTTGTGAATCCTACAAATGTAGACTCTCGTTATGAAGTCAAATTTGCATAAAGTTGAGCTTTTGATTGTGTCAAGGCAGCTCAGTGGTTTGTGTGTGTTTTATGATACACAACGCCTTTAACGAGTCCTCACTGAATTCATTTTTGGCCCCAAGACTGCATTACTCATTCACTCGTACACGCACACAGGCACCATCAACAAAACTCATTCACAGCAAACAAAATCCCCCTATCGTCATACAGCCCCACTAATGTATCATGTCTTTGTTTCTGGAGAACCACAGGCACTTCCGGGCCAAAGGCTCCCACTCTGATCATGCTTTCTGACGGAGTCTTTCCTCATCCGGAGAGCTGTCCTGTGATCCACTATCAGGCTCAATCCCAGATTATCCGGCCCCAGCTGCAGGAGCTGCAGAATGGCTTCATTATGTGTCCGAGGTGCCTGATGAGAGAGGCAATGGAGAAAGTGGTTTGCTCTTTAACGGCGACTTCTGTCAGCACACAGCCCCATGAGCGAGAAACACCTCATTTCAATAGACAGCCCCAGAGTGATGGACACAGACTGGTAACCTGGAATAGATGGAGTTTCTCCTATGAGATAGCTGAGTTAATGTGAGATGGTGGTGTCTCAGGCAACGTGTAAACATACTGATATGCAAGTATGATGTTTGCCATATTCACCATTCAAGTTTAGTGTGTTATTATGGTAGCATTTGATAATTAGCGCTAAACACAGAGTAAAATTGAGGCTGATGGGAATGTAGTTTTGCATGTATTTGGTCATACACCAAAGTACTGAAATGTTGACCTGATGATAGCACTAGATGAAAAGTTAAATTAGCATTTACTGATGTTTTTGGTCACTTAGAGGCAACATAAACAAGCTGTGAGCACAACATTGACATACCACCACCTTTTAGGTTGATATGGTGAAGTTGTTGGCTTATTTACACCCAGCAGTTATAGAGCAACATTATTGTTCATTTGGTCTCAGGTTTTGAGAATATTGGTATTTCTGAAAATTAGTCTAATATTCACTCTCCTTTTATCTCTTGTTTTTGGTCTCTACCAACTCCTGAGGGAAATCTGTGGGTTTTTGCTGCTAAATGCTCCACTATGTTAACCAGCTGGTCGTTAACTGTGACCGTCTATTGTTTGGTGCTGAGCAGACAGTGTATGGTGGGATTTTGGAGTTGAGACATTTCACTCAAAGACACAAATGTCTGAACAGAAAGTCAGTAGATCGCCGAAGTCTTTAGGATTCATCCTCTCTCAGAATCATGAATGTCTGAGTGTATGAATTAGTGGTAACAAGACAGATTGAAAGCTTTCTGAATATCATCAGACAATACAGAAGGACAAAGGAGCCAAAATGTTGTATATCATTTTTGCTGAATTGGTGAGATGGAGCGTAGAGCAAGAGGGTTGGATGCAGCCAAGGTAAAGCACTTTTTAAGCCAATCAGCAACATCATAAAATATTATTGACCAGAAACAAAATGGTAACAAAACCCAGAAAAAAACCCCCCAAAGATTTAATCTCCATTACCTACAGTAAGAATGGTACACACAAACAGCTTTAGCGCAGACTTCAGAAGATGAAGCACAGGCATTTAATGCCCTTTAATTACTCACATATTGTAATTAGTTAGCTCTGGGATGTCCCCATTCATGCTCTTTCCCTCTCCCTCCACACCCGCTCTGACTTGCCCTGCATGGTGCAGGCTTGGCCCATGCACCACAAACACACACGAAGGCTGGTAATTACACTGGTTAAGATTTTTGTAATGACAGAGTTAGAAAAGGAATGCAGCTTCCAGAGGAACGAGTGTGTTTGACGTGGAGGAGGTGCCGCTGCTGCC